CATCATTTCTGCTGAATCAATAAATGTTTTATTTGACATGCGGAAAAATTTAGAGAATTGAAAGTTATCATAGCTACAAAGCCATGGTTCCATCATTAAAAAAAAATCTGAAAAAAACATTTCACCCATGAATATTATGAAAGGATTATTTTTTAAACTTTCCATACACCGTTGTACACGAAAAAGCACCGATTATTAATTGATAATAAAAATAATCAGAAATTATATACTGGCTTTTCTAAAATAAACAATTTGCAACAAAACCGCGGTTAAAACCAACGCGTTCAAGCGATTCGTGTAACTGACGTCATCAACCCGTGTGTCATCTTGAACCATATTATAACCGCGGCACATAACACAGAAATTTTGGTTATTCGCTTGGATTTGATTAATATATGTCTATACTACATAAAAAGCGATTAATAAATAAATAATAATAATTTTGTTGTATGATTACTTACATCTGTTTCATTTATTCCTTTTTCAACACATAGTCTGGGTTCATTTCTGTTTCTTAAAAAAAAAGCCGTTTGTAGGCAAACCATCTTGGAATGTCATCGCTCAGTTTCTTTTTCTCTCTGAAAAACTGTGCCGTCAAATTTTTTATTTTCCTTTGTATTTCAAGCTTGTGAAGGCCCATAGCATCACTGATCGTTTTCCATGCATCCTTTCTCAAATTTTCATTTTTGTAACGTTCATCCCTTGAAGTGTGTGTGATATAAATCAATTAACGTATCGGTTAATTCGTTCGTCCACGTGACAGACATGTTTCTGTTTCCAACTAATGTTTTCAACCATTTTCAACTGAGCGTACCCACAGAGCGAATGAATATCGACAACAAGCGCGTCCTTTTGATGTTTACCGCCACAAATGGAAACACGGTTCCTGACATTTGTTTACCATTTTTGTTGCCGACACAAGATAATTTCACATATTTTTGTCACCAGCAAATGTTGACAACACAAAAGTTGGCAATTTTTCTTTGGTGGATACGCACCTTTACGAGTAGTCCTAGGCGGTGTTGCCTTGCCGCGTACCATCCTAGCTGCCGCAGATATGCGTTGCAATAGTAAAAATGAAGGGATGGAGTATAAATTTGTGATGCTGATAGGCTATCAGCATTTACAATAAATGAAAAAATATTTACTTTTGATATATTTATATAGAAGAAATGAAGGAACCAGACGAAAACATCTCTTGACCGCTTCACACCTTACAGCAGTAACATTTCTTTATTATGATATGATGGTACCATAGAATCGGCTCCCACATTTCATTTTGAGACCACATGAAGATTTCAATGAAAGTGTCAAGAAACATTATTATTATTTTTCACGTAAATCAGCATAGGAGGGTCCGGTCCTTGGAATATGATAACATTTTCGCAAATTTGTCCATAGGCACGGATGTTCATGAATTTCTAAAAACGTCTTTGTATAATCCGTTGAAAATATTTTTTTGATGTTCTAACTTGTGAAATTATACTGGAGATCACAAAAAGGTTAAAAAAACGCTGTCAAAACTCAAGCTGGCGCTAAAAAGTACAACTACTTTGTACTTTACTGGCGCATGGATTAGTGGTCCCACTTTACTAACGCCAATTGATTTTAGCTGTTTCCATGTGCCTATAAACTTGCCAGTTTAATCTCCTATCTCTAGTCTTCGTGCGTACGGCACTGCTTGAGACCTGATAGGATTGTGATGAGCAAATTTGAACAGTTACCAGAGGCGCATTCTTTAATTCACCGGTGCAAACAATTAACCAATTTTATTTCTTTTAATTTCCGTCTGAGCGACCGGTTGTACACCAAACTTGTTTACATAGTTTATAGACAAGTTTGGTGTACAACCGGTCGCTCAGACGGAAATTAAAGGAAGTAAAATTGGCTAATTGGTTGCACCGGTGGCTCAACCGCTGAATTAAAAAATACGCCTCGTTATGACATTTAGATATTCATGACAAATTTGTCAGTTGTCAATATCATATGGCAAGAAAAGCGGGAAAACTTAAGGTAAACACCCAGTGTTGCCGGACGTACCGATATTTCAGTATTTCTACCGAAATGAGACATTTACCGAAAATATTCTCGTTTTCTACGTTATTTAAAATAACTCACATATTACTAGATTTTTACAGGAAAAAAATAGATACAAAAACGAAACTATCAAATAAATTCTATGTAGCCTCTTTTAAACCAATTTACCAATCATACATTTAGAATTCGGGCACACGAGGGACGTATAATTATAATAATAATAATAAATGACCTTTCTCAGAACCAACCAGAACATGTGTGCACATACTTTATACCGCTTTCCCTGTATTGCTGTATTGCTTGTTGTACGCACAATAGGTACATACTGGTAAACCACCGTCATTACCGCATCGCTGGACAAGGAAACCAAAGATGTGTCTGTTTTTAATTATTTTTTGAATTAAAATGTCAGGTAATGAAGCTTCAAGTTCAGGGATAAATTCTATATGTCCACTCAATACAGAAATGAACTTGTTTTCATAGACGGTGTTGCATATCCCCAGCTGAGCTTGCAATTTTGTACAATTTCAAAAAAAAAACGGGATAATGAACTTTCAATCGTAATTACAACTAAACCATTAGATTTGGGGCTGTGTTTTTTTTTAAATGAGCTAAATGTATAGTTTTAGCAATGGTTGTGTCACTTTCTAACAGAGCTAATTAGAAATCAACGAAAAAATTCTTAAGTTCATTGTTTTGTGAAAAATCTCTTCCATCCCTCAACTTTGGAGGGCGGTGAAAAAAATGAGGTTGTATTTCAATCTCATTATTCATTTTATTGTAAAAACTAGTTCAATCCATGTAGAATAAATGCTGAAAATCTGTATGTTCAACGCAGGTGGGTATCTGTACATGTAAACAAGAAATTCTATTTTACGAGCTACAATCCAAACGCCTTGATGGATTTTGTCATATGAGGTACAGTTAGATTCGTTGTAGCAGTGCGAGTGATACTGTGTGTATTAACATCTTGTAAAACCAAAATGGCGGATTTTTTACGCAAATATATAGCTAAATCAGCTTTGGGCATTCAACCCGGCATTTCAGGTGCGGGAGCGTTCAATCGTCGGTCCGACCGAAATTATTAAGTCAGGCAATGGTCCAGCGCGGAATTTGTACCTAACGTTTGGCATCTGAGTAGACTTATGTCATATTCTCCGCTATATTATGCAGAAATGCCTTACTATTATGGTGCTGCCCTAGAAATGCTAGAGCATGTATCGGGATTATGTGGTTAGAAGAGGTGGACCACAACCGACTGCCACGTTTTTCGACGACGCATCCATAATACGTATATGGAGTGCCGCATACTAGGCACTCATCGTCAGCTAGGAGCATCGAGGATACGCCCAGAAGAAATAGAAAATATACTATGGTCAATTCGCCATTAAATTTCAAGCGGTCGCCTGGCGGAATAATGCGCGGGGCAGGGGCAGGGCAGGCAGAGTTGCACTCAGGCCACCGTCGGTTGCGTGTATCACTGCGTGCTCGTGTTTTCGTATCCACCTTGCTTGTTGTTGCTGTTGTTGTTGTTAAGTGTATTTGAGTAATTTGTTAAGCTTCTGCTTCTGTTAAATACTGTCATCGTTTTACAACACGTTGGTGGTAGTCCATCATTCGGAGGTAGCCCTGAATGCGGCCCTGTACGCCGTCCTTGCTTTTGGCAATGACGCATCCATTCTATCTTGGGTGTAAATACACTATACAAGCAGCCGAGAGAGATCCCTCTATAAGCACCAAAGCAGAAACATATATCCCATAGTACACACAATACTACGCTCAGAGAATATACATCCTTACCATGTACAAAAGTACAATAACTGCTTCCAAGTGATTATGCACAATGGGTTGAATTTTGTGAGAATCTGTTGAGAAGGTGCGAAGAGGATGAAACTTTTTTCGACAGCATCTTATGGACAGATGAATCCAACTTTAACCGAAATGGAATATTCAACAAGCACAATTTCCATTCATGAAGCGTGGAAAATCTAGACGCTATTCGCGATGGTGCCCCATGCCACTATGCACGGGATGTACGGCATTACTTTGACAGTGCCTTTCCTGGGCGTTGGATAGGTAGAGGTGGACACAAACGATGGCTTCCAAGGTCACCCGATTTAAATCCTCTAGATTTTTTATATGGTGGCTTTATACGGGGATAATCAATACATCTGAATATACCAATGTCAACCCACTGATGAAGCAAAAATAAAAGTTAAATAAAATGCAAATTTGTTTCAAAGACTAAAGGACAATTTATTAGGTGTCGCTTGTGTATAGAAAATAATGGCCATTTCGAACAAAGTTAGTTAACTTAAATTATCTTCCACATTTGTAGGTGAATCGCCATAAAGAGCGGCTAAACACAATAGGTTCTGTACTTGTAGGTGGTAAAGATTCTATTGCGTTTCTCACGTTTATCGCATCACAACAACGAATGTGACATGATACACTCATCGTAGCAAGCTGAAATTTTCAGGGTTTATTCTACATGGATTGAAATTGTTTTTACAGTAAAATGAATAATGAAATACATTCTCAATTTTTTTATACCCCTCCAAAGTTGAAGAGATTTTTCACAAAAAATGAATTTTAGATTTTTTGCGTTGATTTCTAATAAGCTCTGTTAAAAAGTGACATAACCATTGCTAAAATTAACCTTTTAGCTCATCTCATAAAAAAAATCACAGCCCTAAACCTAATGGTTTAGTTGAAATTACGTATGAAAGTTCATTATCTCGGTTTTTCGAATTTTCACAAAATTGCAAATAGCTCCTGAACTATAAAATTTTGGACCACACATATAGGAGTTCATTCGATAGGTTTTGTGGCCCTCTTTTACCTGACTTCCGTTGATCCACTACTAACTTTGCACCCTGTATTTGTCCTGTTTTGTCTTTGAAACTATGGACGTTCGACGCCATTCGATACTATCTCCCGATACGTCTTTGTCGGTTCGGCAACATTGGAAACACCTACACCATTGCCGGTGATTTGTTGAGAGATCATTGGTTTGTTTTTGTTGGTGTTTTCTGCTTTTGGTTTACATTCCCATTTGTTTATTTTCATGTTCGTGTTAAAATTGCATAGATGCTTGCTACATTACAATTCTCTACCTTAAGACTCCACTGGAGAAATTTGAAATGGAGTATAAAAAAAATATAGATCTTTGCTGCTCAAATCTGGCTAGTAGTAAAGTTGCAGATAGGAAAAAGTACAGTGAAAAGTTGTCCACAATTTTGGATGACCATGATGTTATAGAAACTCTCAATGATGGCATATTCAAGTGGGAAAACCTAGTGTATGCTGTGCAAGAATATTTAAAAAAGGTTTGTATTGATGTTGACCTAAGTATTGATAATGGTTTGAGTTCATGTGTACTTGGCAAAACTGCTTTTATGCTGAAGAGTATGTAGTATATCATCTAATGATAAAGGCACATATCTGTTAGATATACTGTCAAAGGTGTTATGGGCTACCCTGACAATCATTGATGAACTGTGGTGGGAAATAAAAACACTAGTTGTAAATTGACAATTAGTCTCTATCTTAGGCTCCTATCGTCAGTCGTCCATACAATTATTGTAGGGCGCGTTTATGGCCTCCTTGATTGTCATACTCCTTTTTCTCCTTCATAAATTTCTAGATTACACTTGTCCCGTGTCAGCGTCAGCGCTCTCCTATAGTGAGGATATGTTTTCTTTTCAAATTGTAGGAAATTTCAGGCTGATAAAACATGATATAACTCAAAAGCAAGCACAATTTGATGCAAATAGATGTTTGTGACATAACCTCAAAATAGAGTTCTGCAATGGAGAAGTAGAAAATTATGACAATCAAGGAGGCCATAAAGGCGCCCTACAATTGTAGGAACGACTGACGATACGGGCCTTAGTATCTGAACTTGATGCTGCTTACGTCTGTCTGACCAAAAAGACTGCCAACCATGAACAGCTGTTTCCTACTTCTTGGCTACTCATCGGCAAGCGGTCGGTAACCTGTGGCTCAGGAGCCACATGTGGCTCTTTTGATGTCAAGTTGCGGCTCTCTAGTCCATGCCCAAATATTAATAATTATATTATTTTTTAAAAATATTATACTGCAAAAAATATTAATTTCGTTATTTTAGTAAGTAAAAGACTTTAATATGTTTTGTCTTAATCATTTGTATGTTTTTATATGAATGAATATTTCATATTTAAAGCCATTTATTTTAAATCAAAAATCAAATTTATATTCCTAATCAAATACCATAATATTGAATCAAAAATGTGGGAAATTTTGTAAATTGTAACTTTTGACTCTTGAGTCTCAAAATTTTGCTGACTCGCGGTCTAGGCTTGGTCCCTTGTCTGAAAAACTGTAAGAACAACTTTACAGTTAAATCTCTTGTATCTACATTATTTTGTAAGAAAGTGTGAGACTGTGGAAGTCTCCTGTAATGCTGGCATTTTATTTACCTGAAGTTATTCAGTAATTTATATTTGTTTATATTAAATTCTAGGAAGCAGAGAAAAATGCTGAGGATATTAAAAAGAAAGGAACTTCTGTCATCCCACCTAGGCCAGATATTTTTTTAAAAGTAATAAAATTAGCTGTAGCACAAGGTAATTTTTGCTGAATTTTGACAATGTAAAGTGGTGTAGTGCTTTTATGCTGAATAGCAGTATTTATGGAATAGCTTTTATAGTTTTCAACAGTTAATATACAATCTCTTAAATCTGACATTTAAGTGAAAACTGCTATTCAGCATAAAAGTGCTGCACTACACTTTGCTCTACATTGGTTGAATGTATTAAATCTATTGTTTATGTTGTTAAATAGAAGTTACCTGAAATTGGGAAACCTTGAAATCCCCCTTTTTTTTTTTGATGTTTTGTTCCAATTAACACATATTAACTGTAGAAGCTATTGGCTCTATTTAATTCTTTAGTATTTTGTCAAATTACGATTGTTCTATTGAATAAAATTTGTTAAAATAATAAACAATCAACCTTTTTTCTTTACAGGTAATATAAATATTTCACATTTGGTTGGATACTTCATAGGGTGCTTAAAAGACAACAGAATGAAAAGATGTTATGAGGATACATTTTTGCATCTTACAGAGAACTGCATTTTAAATAAGGCTGAATGTAGGGAAAAGTTGAAGCAATATGACTGGATAGGTATGTAGTGACTGACATATTCTTTTTGGTCTATGCATGGCCCTTATAACCTAGGGAAGAGCGAAATTGGGGTTGATATCTTGCCTAGGCTTTACACAGACTTTTTTGTAGTGTGACATAGTGAAGTAGAAGTGCAACATATTATTTGCTAACAACACCTGTCTTTACTTGTGCATATATTATAGTTTAACCGTAGTTTGTTGGTGAATTAATTTAGCAACATAACACATTACTCCCATTTCTAATATGTGATGTATCACCATACCGAGGTTAGGTGTAAAAATATTTCACGCTAAACATTGCCCCACATAATATACTATTATGTTCAGTGCAATAAAGAGCCTTTGTTATTAATGTTATTTCTTTTAGAATTGTACAAGTGCTTAAAACTACTCCACAGAGAAAAATCAAACAACAGTTTGGTTGACAACTGTTTGACTTTAACAATAAAATGGGGACCAAGCAATGGATTTCCTTTCAAAGTACTGAGAGAAGAATTTGACTTTATTACAGAATTCTGCCAAAGATGCAACACAAATCTACAAAGACGCATCAAGGAGAATATTGTTACTGTTGCGGTTGAGTTTACTAAAGCTGTATGTATCTATAGAGAGCTTACAAACATAATCAAAGTAGTCTCATTGATGCATAAGAATTTCTTGTAATATATTAGATTAATATCAGCAAAAGCTATAGACTGCAAAATATACTAAGTGACATATAAATCCGAACACCCAGTTTAAATGGTTTTATTTTAATAAAATTTTGTATAAGTACTTAATGAAGCATAATAAGTAAATGATAAAAATTTTAAAATGATTGCACTGCTTTAAAGCCCTTTGACCTTTAATAATGTGTGGATGCACCCTGATGTGCTACGCATTCTCCAACGCGCCTAGGCATGCTTCTGATCAGGTGGTCAATGTCCTCCTGTGGTATCTCATTCCAGGCAACCACCAACTCCTCTCGAAGTGCTTCTAGAGTCTGAGGAGGACGTTGCAAATTGAGCAATCTCCTACCCATCATATCCCACAATTGGGGATAAGTCGGGAGATCTTGGTGGCCATGGTAACAATGTGACATCATTATGTTGAAAGAAGTCTATTGTGACTCTTGCAACATGTGGTCGGGCATTATCTTGTTGGAAAGTTGGATCTGCCAGGGTGTCAAGATAGGGTAAAAGATGGGGTTCTAGAACTTCGTGGATATAACGCTGCGCGTTCATGTTACCTCTGATGAAGATTAAAGGTGACCTGAAACCATAAGCTATAGCACCCCAAACCATAACTCCAACAGTGTGATGAACATGTCTTTCAACAAAAAACTGTGGATTCCTCCTTTCACCGCGTCGCCTTCTAACCCTGGCACGACCATCGTGCATGCCTAAACAAAATCGAGACTCGTCACTAAAGACAGTACTGTTCCATTCCTGATCCCAGAGTGACCGTTGTCTGCACCACTCAAGGCGATTACGTCGGTGTTCTCGAGTTAACGGGAGGACCCAGTGTGGCCAGTATGAAAACAAGCCAAAACTTCTCATTCGTCGGTAAACACTTCGCATGCCAATAGGTCTTCCGTGTTCTGCAAACCATTCATTTGCAATGGACCTGGTAGTGGAGAAACGGTCCCTTAAGGCCAATAATCTTAGGCGGCGATCTTCACGGTCTGTTGTTCTACGGCGGCATCCAGTGCCCCTTGCTCTTTGCGTACGGCCTTCTCGAAGCCATGCCTGACAACACCTAACCACAGTGTCTACACTTCTTTGCACTCTAACTGCAATTGCCGGAAAAGAACAGTCCAGCTTCCCGAAGTCCCACTATACGGCCCCGATCAAACTCACTAAGTTGACGAAATCGTACAGGTCTCCGTACTCTAGGCATCGTCACGATCGTAAAGGATGTCAAGAACCAAAATCCGCCAACGTTGATTCTTTACTGCGGCTGAAATATTCATTTTTAGAGCGTTAGTGAATTAAAAAAAAGCAGTATAAAAACCGGAATGTCTAACTGATAAGGCTGAAGATTTTTTCACTTGTTATTTACAGTAAGATAAATACATTCACCAACTTTTATTAAAATAAAACCATTTAAACTGGGTGTTCGGATTTATATGTCACTTAGTATATCATCAAAGGATAGCAATGGCCAAAATCTTATAGCATATTTTAATACATCTTGGTAATTTTGTTTTTCAGAATGCCAAAGACAGTAGGATGGCTTGTTGCAAGTTTGGAGAGAATATAGTTGAACATTTCATAGATATCTATGATACTGCCGAAAATGTTTTGAAGGTATGAGATGACACTTAAGACATTATTTCGAAAGTAATTCATAAAAAAGTTGAAACATTTTTTCATAGTATACCTCATTCAAAGCCTGGAGTTATTTTCAAGAAAATGCTACTTATTGCTATCTTGGTGGGGAAATTACCTTGCTATACCTGAATCGTCGCTACCTATTCCCCCTCCTCTTCAATTTTCAGCACCAGCACGCTCCCCTTCCTATACAGATTTCTAAAATCGACATTGGATCAGTAGCGTAATTGTCGTGCTCTCATTGGCTCATTCTTGTTTATCCACAAACATATTTTTCTATCAACAGGTACTGCTCATAGAGTTTTTCCTATTGCAAACTGTGATACATCACCCTGATGGTGCATATGAAAATGAACCACGTTCATATGCGCATAACTGGACTTCCTGGAACAAATATTTGAGGTGGATTTATACACTGTTGAACAAAGAAATCCATAAGTGCTTCAAATCCCACTCTTTCAGTGGTTGCTTTTTCATTGTTAAGGGACAGTACAACACCTTAGCGAAGGATTTTTTAATTCTTTTTGTCGACGTCAGCAGACAGGTATGGGTTCAAAATCATTTACTCGTGAAATTTCAATCCTTTATTGATTCCGGCCTTGGCGGTTTTAGGTATTCCGCAAGCCTGACATAGACGTATCTATGACAATTGATTGCAGCACAGCAGAACAAGGACCGCAAAAAAGACAAAAATTAGACTTGGGATTGAAGTCTTATATAAATAAAGTTGAACTAACAAAATCATGGTTATGGTGAGTAATTTAAAGTGAATTTGCCATTGGAAGCCACGGTGGGTCCTGGGCAACCAAATTTCTACATAAAATCCGGTCCTTGACACTTTCACTTTACATGTCACTCATTTCCGTTGGTCTGTCTGTCTGTCTGTTTGTCCGTTAATCCTTGGCCCGTCTGTAACTTGGAAAGTACTGCTCGGATTTTGATGAAATTTTCACACAAGGTAACTACAATGCCGAGTTACGGTCGGTGCAGTGGCGGCGGAGTGAGGGGCAAAAAAGGGAATAAAATCAGAATAGCTCAAACTTCGTTGTTTGACGTTTCACAAGATCCTGATCATTTTCAGCTTAGGCGTTAATAATTGTGGGTTGTAGGGCGAGGCTAGGCTAGGATCTAATTTTTTTTATCTTAGTGTTGATACTAGTGGACAAGACACGAAACATCATATTGAAATTCTTATTATGCCATCATGTAAAGGAGAAGGAGTGACAGTGTTAATGTGAAAGTTATTTTGAAATACTACTACAATTAAAGTCAGGAAAAAATTTAAATGGTTTTGACAAAAGTCGTTTTTTCCGTCTCTCTCCGGAAGTACTTTAAATTTCGAAACTTTCTAAGCGGTATGTTGTTTTATTTGTTTACCTAAATGCGCAACTTTCCTCCATTTAAGCGACTTCGTATCTCTTACACTTTCCGAGATCCTAGTGGCGAGAATCGAATTTGAACACCCTGTATATTCTCGGGGCGTTGTGCTGGTAGTGTAATTTAATGAGGTTACTTGATTTCGTGAAGTTATATATAGTATAGTATATGTGGTTGTATAGTCAAATATCGTTGTATAGTCTATAACTACGTATCAGGTGCTGTTTTAATCAACATTGTTGTCGTGTGAGAGATTTTTTTTCATGAAAAGACCAAATAGTTTATTATAGTTCTGACAAAACCTACGTTCTTATGATGCCATCGTACTACATGGAAAATCACACTAGAAGTTGTTTCGGAGGCTTGGGAAGTATAGATTCAATCTATTTGACGCGTTTTTGATAGTCATATCTCGAATTAGTGTCATAAATTACCTGAATGTTAGAGTTTTCAGCTTGTATCAGGGGGAGATAAAAATTGAATGTTTACAAAATCTTATTTTTGTAGGATTCGAATCACATCACAGATTTTACAAAAATACCCAGATTTAATTGACATTGGAGACTACAAAACATTTTTGAGAATATTGTACACAGTTCAAATTGAATCCAACGAACCTAATGTTCTGAATAATGTATACAGTTGCTTTAGTACCATGTTGAATATCATCGATGACGTGTCTAAAGATGCGTTAGAATCCCAGGAAATTGCTGCACTTTGGAATGACATAGGTGTCGCTACAATGAGGTAAACCAAAGTTTTAGATTTGAGAACGAAAAAACTAGGGATGCAACGAGTACTATATTTTTGAAATGGCCGAGTACCGAGAGCTCGGTGAAATGAACTCTGTTAAACTCAGTCACTATAAGTAATATTAAGAATATCTCCGAGTTTTTGAAAGGTTTCTTCTCGGAATTGGTTTGCTTTTCCAAGAAATTTTCGAGTACTCTATTATTTTGAAACGCCGGGTATCGGGTACACTCGGCCATATTCTAATACCGAGTACTATAATTAGCTCTGTGGCGGTTTATTTCAGTTACTATCAGGAATATTACGATTATACAAAGGATACTATAAAACTTTTGCAATACAGCTTTATTGATGTCGTTCAAAGTAATTTCCACCACATTCAATACACTTGTCCATCCGCTAAAACCAGTCCTTATACCAGCTCTGCCAAGTTTCACCCGGGGGTGCCGCACACTCGTTGTCCCAAACCCCCAGAAAGTCCTTATCGCTAGAAAAACGTTTTCCTTTAAGCTTCATTTTCACATGCGGAAACAGTTCAAAGTCGCTGGGAGCAAGATCTGGACTGTAAGTAGGGTGCTCAATAAGTTTCAGTCCTGTAGTTGTCAAATACTCGGTCCAGGCTGGCGCGGTGAGCTTGAGCGTTGTCATGGTAGTGGTACCAAGTGTCAATTCTTGAATTTGGCCGCAGGTTTCTCATAGACTCTTATGGCTTTAGGCAGGCACTTAGCCGTACACCACTTAGCTGTGCCTGTCTTCTATGTGTCCAAAACGACACGCTCCACATTCCCGCACTATTTGAAAAAACTGCTATCATTTTTTTCTTAACAAATCGGGATTTTCTGACAGCTACAACAGTTTCGTCACATCGTAATGATAGAGCCAAGTCTCGTCACCTGTCACGATGCTGTTCGCATACGGAGTTTGCCCCTTATCAAGCATTTTCAGCATTTTTCGGCACCAAGTCGTACGACGAGTCTTCTGCTCTTCCTTCGGACTATGCGGTACCCAGAGAGAACAAAGTTTCCTTACGTGTAAATATTCATGCAGAATTGAATGAATTGCTGGTGCATGCAGGTATAAGGTTTCCTCTATCTGTTGGTATGTCAATCTCCGGTCTGCGTCAAGCATTTTCCTCACAGCAGTAGGTTTTTCCTCTGTTCCGACGTTCGCGGCCTTCCTTCCCTCTCTCAGCGTCCTCCAGAGTGAAATTCCCCCTTTGGAATTCCCTGTACCACCTGAATATAGTCGTAGGATGACAATCATTCTTTAATGCAAGCATCGGTTCTTCTGAGCACTCGTCTATGCTTAAACCACGCGTAAAGTTATACCGTAAAACTGACCGTATCTCATCACTGCGTGACCACGATGCCATAGTCCGCACTTTATACTGTCAATACGAATGAACAACTAAATGAACAGACGTGCTGCTGGCGGCCACTATGCACTCATGGCCATGTCTCAAACAGTAACATGCATCCTTCTGCGTCCGTTTGTTATGTCATATTGCAAAACTTTTATAGCACCCTTTGTATTTTTGAAAGATGTCGTCTCAAAATTGGTTTGCTTTTCCTAGAAATTAACGCATCACAAAAAGTACAGTTTTTCGACGATTGTTTGTGCGTGAAACGCTATAGGTTATTGTATTTACAGTATTTTTCTCTCTTATTATTTGCAACTGCTAGCTATATTTTATTCAAATAAAATTTAATTCTACATTACATTCCTTAACACTTTGTTTGTGATACTGTTCAATCATTCTTATTCCAAAAGAAGCACATTTTTAAGACAATATCACAAATGATAGGGTGATTTTTAGAATAATATTAGGCTTGAGGAACGGAACTTTTAGTAGTAAATGAAAGTAGATGCTCGACCTTTTAAACCTACATTTTTGTTGAAGATAGGCAACGTCAGGCTCCACGCTACCCAAGCTTAAACAAATTACGCCTAATAAAATCGGTGATGATACCAGTTCAGATTTGGGAAGAATTAAACGTAAATTATCCTTACATATGGGAAAAGGATTTGTTTGCAGAAACGCGAGAATTCGTAATTCACCTTACTTTTCGATTGTTGCAGCGATTTACTTATTTTGGTTGCTGTTTTTTTGAGCGTTCATAAGGAAGATAAAAGGCCCATACCAGGCTAAAATGTGGTTTTAGTTTAAACAGTTGCAGTAACTGCTCCATTGGTTTACAAAGAAGCATGGAATAGTAACACCTTGCGTATAAATAATAAGCTACAAAGTTACCAGAAACAAACTAAGTTACTGGAGAAGGCGAAGAGAGTCTTCATTTACTAAAAAATCGTCCAGTTCGAGCATATGATTCTGGCAAAAATATGCTGTAACCTTAGCTATTTTTATGGTGCGTTAATTTTTTTGAAAACATTGCATGACGGTGTGGAATTAGGCATACGTACTGAAACTTCGTAAATACCAGATCGAGTAATTACCCATCCGAGTAATTTAATTCTCGGCGAAACCGGATAATCGAAAAAATGTACCGGGTTAGAAACCGAGTAATCGGTAGATCCCTATAAAATAGTAATTGAAAGAGGTCGCTAATGTATTCATCCTTTACTAATATTATACATATTTTTCAGAGCATTTACGTTGAATCAAGAACGAGACGTAACCGAAAAGTTACTAGAAGCTCTCATTCTTAGGAAAATTATTTCTTTCGACAGTATCCAAGAAACTTATACTTCAGGGATTTTTAGTTTGACTAGTCAAAGTATAAGCACTATTAACACTGGGCTACAATCTGTTGTGTTATATCTGTCCAAGGAAACTCAAACAAAAATGATAAAATGTATCTTGAACGTAAACAATTTCAAAAATTGCAACTTTTTGCTAAAGCGAGAAACTGCCAGTGTGCTGATAAACTTAACACAAAGACAATGGCTCAGTGTAAAGACGCAAAAGGAACAATCTGTGTCAGATGCTTATGCCGAGATCAAACAGATCTATTATATGAATGCTTTTGAGAAAGTTCTCATTGAAACTAATAACGAACTCGAATATATGGATCTCAAATCTACGAATATTGATACTGACATTTATTTCATACTCATTGACACGTTAAAGTCGCTTGTCAACAATATCCCAGACAATATAGAAGTTCAGCTCAGCATGTGCGTTTTGATATTGAATATACTAAATTGTTTATTTGTGTATGGCATGAGGATGCTGGATCACGAAGCGCTACACACCATGTTTAAAAATGTGTTTAACAGTGTAAACAAAAACCATTTTGACATAGAAGGGAAACAGGAAGCTGAAAGAAGAAAAATTCTGGGATATATAAGAATTCTTGACGAATCGTATTCTCATGAATTTCACCAGTCATTGGTTAAGCTTGTAAGACAAACGGTACCCCAGGAGGTACTTAAATTATTAGTGAAAAGTTTGAACATTCTTCAAGGTGAGAACAGTTGTACGAGGTCGAATGTTTGTTACCTTGACGTATTTTGAAAATAAACAAATGTAGTGGGTATTTAATGTTAAACCCTTTAATTTTTCAGATGATAAAAATAGATCTGACCTATCATTCCAGTTGAAACAAGCTATTATAAAAAATCTGTCAAAATTTGCGTGTATTGGTGACACCCCAACTGAGAGACAGCTCCATGTCTTAGAAGTCTTAGCTCTTCCTAATTACGATTGCACCATTGCAGATGATTATTTTTTGGTAAGTAATCCAACAACATATTCTTCGACTTTATTAATCAGTTTTTTTAGCTTCTCACTTTTTTGAAAACATTTAAACAAGCAACACCTGGAGCGTTACCAAGCATCGTCTTCAGCAATATTTTGAAGCTATTGCAAGAAGTTTGTGTCGCAAGATACGAATATTCTGAGGATGCTGCTAACGTTTTGAGTGTCTTACATGGTGAGTTAGTCATAATTTGATTTTATCGGTCTATTTATCTCTTCCATTTTTTTAGATCTCTATCCGCATTTAGCACTTTCGGATGACGAGGATGATAAGCATACAGGGGTGGCATTGTTAAAACCATTTTATGAAAATATGGAGAATTATAACCCCAAAGTATTAGTTACTTTGTTGAATTGTTTGAAGCAATTATTCAAGGTACATGTACAATAAAAACAAAGTGAAAATTTCATCTGAAATGCTGATAGATTCGGATGAAAGTGGAAATTCTTAAATGGTTAAAAAAATACAGGGTGATTAAAAGGACAATGGCAATATTTCTAGAGCAGAAAGTACATCCGAAAATAAGATAAAAGATTTTAATAAAAATATTTTTTTAAATGTCCATAGTGTTGTAAATTTTCATGCCACTTTTGAGCCTGAAGAAAGACAAAACATGTTCAAATAGCCCTATGGTAAGAGGAAATTACCCTCGATACACTAGATACGAGAGTTATTTCAAAAAAATGGTGGCCACATTTTTTTCAGGTTTTTTTTTATTTGAAAAACCGAATTCACAATTGGAAATGTTGATCTTTAAGCTATTTACCTCCATAGTCGCCATTTTTTACGCATGTTTTTAAACGTGAAATCCACTTTTGTACTCCCGCCTCAAGGAAGTCCGCCGTCAGCACGTTTATAAACTTTATAACTGCTCCATGCAACTCCTCGTCCGTCTCGAACCGTTGACCGCCTAGGTGCTCCTTCCCTGTAAGGGAAAGGGGCAGTGACTTCCCAGAAAAATCGCCCCTTGTTGTCCTTAAATTCAACGTGCTCTCTCCAGTTCAGTTTACAGTAAAGGATAATTCCTAGATATTTTACTGACTGGGATAGAACTAATCTAGTCCCAAAGAAATTCGGCAATACAAGCCTTTTTCTCCTAGTGCATAGGATCAGTTCGGTCTTTCCAGCGTTGACAGAAAGATCTATTTCCTTACACCATGATTCCACAGCGTGCAAAGCGCCTTGCGTAATCTCAGAGACTGTTCCACAAAAACGACCTCTAACTACTTTGCTTACGTCATCAGCATATGCAGCACGTAGACACCCGCACTGCCTAGCCTAACGAGGACTTCATTCACCACGAGGCACCACAGTAAGGGTGACAGAACTCCGCCCTGGGGGCAGCCTCGAGCTAGCTAACGCTGCATCTTACCTAATTCAGCATAGCTGCTGCTACCTAGAGTGGATAGGACCCAATCTACTAGGATTGATCCAACCCCGTGCCTAAGGCATCTCTGATGGAGTCGATTGTAGTGCAGTTAAATGCACCTTCAATATGCAGAAAGGCCACAAGTGCCACTTCTCGCTGATCTAGAGTCTTCTCCAGCCTGCCGACCAGATTGACTAAGGCCAGAGATCAGTCGATTGCACAGCTTGGTTCGCAAACTGATTGGAATGAATGCCACACCTCACCAGCGGACCATCCCTCAAAAATCTGTCAACTATCCTTTCCAAAGTCTTAAGCACAAAAGATGAAAGGGTAATCGGACGAAAATCCTTCGGGCCAGTATATCTAGCTCTACCCGGTTTAGGAATAAATACCACATTAGCCTGCCGCCAGCTTCTAGGTGTGAAGTCCGTGGCCAAACATGCTCGAAACCCCTTCAACAGGTAAGGAACAACCGAATCCCGCCCATGCTGTAACATGGCCGGAAATACCCCGTCCAGACCCGGGGTTTTGTATGGAGCAAACGAATCGATCGCCCATACCATCATTTCGAAAGTAACAATCTCCCTTGCAGTGCGCCAGTCCTCCCTTGAGGGCCTGCGCAACTGTATGCGCTCTGTGATTCACTGCGCTACTGTGGAACCGAGAAAGTGCGTATCCATCAGAAGCCTCAGAGTACCTTCCTCGGAAGTAGTACTACCTCCCGATGGAGCAGACAGAGATCCTCATCTTGCTCTAGTGTCTTTGCATAGGATTCTGTGTATTGCCCCCTACTACGACAAAAATAATGATAATAATTGAGATATTAAAAAAAGCATTTTTGATGTATCTCGATCAAGTTCCGATTATATGACTTTTTTCATATCCATTTTCAGATAAATCTTTTAATTCCAAATCGCAAATAACTGTTACACTTCAAGGCTAGTTATTTATGGTCTTGTAAATACTTTTATACTCAACTGCCACAATATTTTTTACTAGTCAGATAAATTAAGCTATGTAATTATCGAAAAACTTACCATTTTCCACAAAAAAACAAATAATGTACCACCTGAAGGTACACAGGAAGCACGCTATCATACTGAAACTGTCAGGCGAAATGGATGCCGGCAAACGGGTCGGCTCAGGTCGGCGTGCCATTATGCCATTGGTCGCTCGGGGTCACACGCACATGCTCCGTATCCGAAAATATTTAATGAATATTTTCTAAATAATGGAGATTTAATATTTTCCATTGATTGAAAAGTAAATATTTAATGAATATTATAAAAGAAATATTGTACGAGTATTTAAAATATATTGAATAACTATTTAATAAAAATATTATATTCCAAATATATATTAAATATTTGTTTAAGATAACAAATATTTAAGTAAGATAAAAATATTAAATTATGAAAAAATATTTAATGAATATCGGGGACACCTTCTCATTTGTAATATTAGTAGGACTAGAACATAACCTAACCCAATAACTACTTACAGTGTTATACTTGAAGTAAAACAAGACACCAAACAAATCTAAATCAAGACGATCACACTAAGAAAATGAATGTTGAAATGAATGAAACGCACAATGCAAATACCTTACTTATATGTCCTTGCTTATTTTTCTCGGACCAGCGACTGAGCGCCCGACACCTGAAGTACTGTCAATTGTTTTGGGCTGTAGCCCGTGAAAAAGATATTTTTTACCACGATAAAAAGTAGTCTATGTGATATTCCGAACTATAATCTATCTTTGTACCTTTCATCCGGATCCGTTAAGACATTGTGGTGTGATTGAGAAACAATCATCCACACTTTCTCATTGATAATAGTAAGAACATATGTCAGTACTACAAGTACACAATTTTAAGTCAACATCTCGTCCCACTGCAAAGATATTTTTTTTTTCGATTTTGAAATTATAACTTCAACATCTTGTATCTCGTTTAGTGCTTTTGTTTATGTGAACATTTCGCGTAATTTTTTATATGCTTTATGCACTAGAAATTTGGCAGATTTCTGCATCTACTCTGCTAATCTATATAAAGATATTCGACTGTAGTCCATTTAATTTGGATACATTTTTAGGTGGATCCTCAATTTACCTTCTCCTTGTGGTCTGGAGTTGAAGTAATCAACTTTGTCCCAGCGTTTCTGTGTAACGACTGTCAAGTGGTGAGGTTTGCAGCTATAGAAACGCTGGTTACGTTTTTCAAAATTAGATGCGAGACTGGGCAACTTCGAAGTTTCCATAGGCAAGAAGAAACGTTCATCATGGTTTATGAAATGGTGGGTATAGTAAAACACTTTTTGTGGCTTAAGTGGAAAAAACCCGTCTGTACTTATTTTGGTATTTTCTGTTTACATTAGAGTTTAAAAGTAGTCGGAATGGCATGTAGTTCTAGTGAAGAACATAAAGAGGATGAAATGATATCTAGAAGAGCTAGTGTTCTGCAGACTTTTGCTAATATCATCATATACTGTCCAGAATGGATTGAAGAATGTATATATGCGATGTTGAAAATTTCAGTAATGAAAAAATTAGGTAAGTTTTGAGTTCTAACAGGTGTTGTTGCTGTTTCTAAGTTATACTTGCTTTTTTAGGATCCCTATCACAAATATTTTGTATAATTAATCAGAATCTCAAATTACCTCAAGACACTAACTTGATGGAAAAATATCTCGAAAATATTCTGGAAAAATGGGCGAGCGAAGACTTGGATATGAATCAATTCCAGTTTCACTTATTTGGATGCGAAACCAAGTCGCATTTTTATAAAAAATATTTTGATATTTGTGTACCTCTTTTCATAACGTCTGATAGGAAAGATCTGATAGAGGTAGCTAGACAGCTTAAATTGAGCGAAAATGACATTGTACAGGTATTTTTATGACGTTAAAAAAATACGAGGGCCATTTTTAAAATAAGTACCGATTGCTCATTGTGTCCGTTCATCCTGTCACGTGACGTCCGTTCAACCTGGGACCCTCTTGGCCAGTCTTTCACTACGCCGCCATTACGTTTCACGCCTATGTCGGTGTTGGTTGCGTTGTTCCACTGCTTTGATTGTCGCCCTGTCACTCGGTAAACCCGCCCATGGTGAAGTACGCTCAGACGTGCTGTGAAATGTTATTAAAGCTTATGTGAGCTGTTTAAAACTGTTGGCGGCACCTGATCTCTTAGCGGCGTTGTTCTGCTTCACGACAATGGTCGGCTTCGCGTTGCGGCAAGAACACAGACGCAGTTTCGTTGAGAATTACTGGATTGCCCACGATACAGCCCTGACTTCTTTTCTTTCCTTTCTCATCGTTTTCCAAAACTTTAGGAATTTCTTGGTGGAAAATGATGACATGCTGAAAGAAACTAAAGTTTTTCTGACTCCATCAGAAACTGGTTCTTACTTGAAAAAAAAATGGCCCTTGTATGTATCCAAATGGGTTTATTCATTTGCCTTTGAGACTGACTATTTTTTAGAGGACATCAGCTAAGGTGTTTGTACGAAGTTTCACTGCAGATGTCGACAATTTATCTGTGGAAGTATTTCAGAAAAACAAGGTTTTGGCTTATTACGCTCATGTGGTAGGGCACGAGAACTTACTGCGTTGTTTAACCGAAGGGTTAGATGAAATCATGTCATTACTAATGAATCTCCTTACTGATAACGAATATATTCTCGAATCCTTTGGAGCATCTGTCATATTTCCGTTAAAAAAATTAACGTTGATTCAGATGAAGCAATGCATCAATTTCATCGAGGTAAGTAAAAACTATCGTTTCATTTCAATTGTATTTTTATTCTATTTACTTGTTTGTTGGATGATATCTAGATGACGAAAGATTATGACACCCATTTCTGTCTATGTCTGTCTGCCAGACTGCCTTGTAGCTTTTGTAAATCGGTTCAGTGACGGCGAAAAAAATGACCAAAACCGGAACTAATAAAAATCAGTCAAACTTTGTTTTTTCACATTTTATAGGATCCGGATCATTTTCAGAGAAACTTTTGCAAGATTTAAAATTTGATGTTGTGCATTTTAGGGGGTGGGGAAGAGGCAGTTTTTTGTGCCAACATTTTATATGTATCATATACTCGTATATTTCATAAATCATAGAATTCTCCGTACATTTGCCCTTAAAACTTGAATGATTGAGATATGTTTTCGATATGCGCGTGCCGGACAACTCACGTACGTCTGTTTGCTTCGAAAACAGCTAGTCACCGTTCTTGGCGTTAACGTCATCAATGCCATATGAAATGAGTAAACAAATCTAGTCTCAGTACCATGGGCGGATCTTAATTTTCCTAACTGAGGGAAAACGATTTAAAATTATTTACTAATCGTAATTCTCAAAAATCGTCTAATCCAGTACATAAACGTGGGTAGAGTATGACACGCCATTTGATGTTTTTTAAAGTTGAAACAAAAAATACAAACGGAATTTACAATACATAATAACATCTATTTGCTAAGTTGATGGAACATTTAACATTGGATGTGGATAAGTGTCAAGGTTATGAGAGCTTTAGAAGAACCATCTTCAATAATAAAAATGCTCAATTCTTCCTGGAGTGAAATGCGACTAAATAAATTACTGCTAGACAAAAAAATACATTTTGATGATGATGCTCTTAAACTCGAGCTTGTAACTTCCATATCTATCAAAATATTTAACAATTTACATTAAGATGCACTCATAGAAAATTAAAAATTATGAATTTTCAAAATTGTTTCAATAAAAGTATGAATTATTGGATTCCTTCATCAGAGTTGTCTGAACTTTCTCCCAAGTGAATGATTGTATTAGTCTCGTATTAAACATTTAATGCTTGTCCCAGTCGTTTTTAACCAAGTCCTCGGTATGTTTCACACACTTGGCCCAAACTGTAGGAGTCACCTTCACTAGAGCATCGTCCCAAATTTTCAAAACTTCCTTGTCACCATAGCCATTTTCTCCAATATGACGATCATAGTACTGTTTGGCTATTCCCCAGACTAACTCAATAAGGTTGTATTGACAATGGTAAGGGGGGAGCCGCAAAACTTGATGTCCATGATCATGTAATATTTCGTATATGATATATCTTGGAGCCGATGGTGTATTAAGGCGACATAGATTTAAAAGCGTCATCATCAAAATGTATCTTTTTGTCTTGCAGACATTGCTTCAATTGCGTTTTACTCAGCTGGAATTGTGCATTTATTCTGTTAAGGCACTATGAAAAGAGGCATCATCCATGATTACTAAAGATGGCTCTTGTAACGCTGGTACCAGCTTCTCACGTACCCATTTTTTGAAAGAATCTTTGTCCATGGAATCGTGGTAGTCAGCACTTTTTGATTTTGTAGCAAATAATTACTCTGGTTGCATTATGCATTATCTCTCAAAAAACCGTTTTTGGTCCCAACATGGAGAACAACATACCGCTTGCCGGTACCCTGATGGCCGCTTTTCAAACTCTTTACGTTTTTATCTTGCCAAACTCGTTTAAACGACCCTTTGGCAAATATCCACGTTTCGTCTAAGAAAACGCATTGGAGAGGGCTTGTACTATTCAGGTTATTCATACTCGTATAATGTCTCATAAAATAGATCCGTTTATAAACAATGTCTGATTATTCACACAAGTGTCGGCGGTTATCTTCTCTCTTGTAGGAAAAACCGCAAGCTTTCAATAGACGCCTTAAACTTGAATCCGAGACGTTGTATATGTACCTTTTTTTAACCTCCTCATTGAGCGCAGAGGTCGTGATATGTTGTCCTTTACTTCTCATATCGTAGAAAGTAAATCGTCGCCTGAATGCAGAACTATTGTATGTCCAAATTCTTCACTTTTAAGACACGACATTGTAGGTCATAGTCACCTACACTGCATGCAGAGGTATAGTAAGTCGCTGCGCAAGCGTTCCCCCACCACTAGTCTTGAACGATATTAGGCGCAGTGCTGCCACCTCTACCGATTTATCGGTAGATCTACCGATTTTAGAAGAGATCTACCGATCTACCGATTCTAATGAAAAATCTCCCGATTTTTTTTGTTTCTAAATATCATCCCAGTTTATTCTTCTTTTCTTATATTTAGCGACATCTAGTGGTACACGTCCAAATCGTAAAATAAATACCGATAACTGATTTCTACAAAATACAATTTATTTGGTAATTCCCCGACGCGACTCGGGTATTCCCCTGGCTAACACCAGCAGGACGCGATAGTCGATACACGATTTATATTATTAATACTCTGTTGGTGTTGGCTGTTTAGAAGTATGTTGAAGAGTAGTGATTAAATTTATATTCTCTGATATAAATTTTGATTTTTTCTGGATTTTAATTTTTATTAAACAAATATGGATAGTGATAGTGCCAGTGCTGATAGTGGAGGTGAAGGAACCAGTTACGGTTTAAAAAAGAAGATGAAATACAGTCAGTCCTACAAATCAGATTGGGAGAAAGAACCACGCTTCACAGGTTGGCTTATTAAAAGCCAAAAAGGGAAAAATTTTGGATTCTGCAAGGCATGCAATAAAGATATTAATATATCCAGTGGAAAGGACTCACTTATAAAACATACACAGCGAAAAATCCACGAACAAAATGTAAAATCTATCAAAAATCAACCGTCCATGACTAAATTTGTTACAGACACAAAAAGGAGGCAAAGGGCTCAAGACACCAAAGAAGGTATACTTACGTTTTTCTATTTGGTAATTCCCAATGATTGATGCACTTATGTGCAGTACCTGTTATAAAATGTAGTACAAGATTCATTACAATGCTCAAAATATATTTTCTATTGGATGTCGGAATGCTACTGGAAGCTCTCTTTCCTTCCTCCAGACCCATCACGTGACTTTCTCCACCTTTTGTCTTAAGGTGCATCCAGACTATATAACATGTTGTATAACACGTCCGCACTGTTCAACATTGTTGTATAAAATTGCATCATTTAACAATATGATATAGTACTACGTGCATCGATCATTGTAACATTATAATTGTGGCAAGGTTTTTTTATTCTATTCCATCATTTTTTAGCTGAGATACGGCTGGCGGCGTTTGTAGCTGAACATAATCTTCCATTTACCGTTATGGAGCATTTGCCTGATCTAATAAAAAATATATGTTCTGATTCCGAAATTGCTCGTGGTTTGGCTTCTAGCAGAACCAAAACAACGTCGATTGTAAAAAATGTAATTGGCCAGGAAGAATTTTTGAACGTTTGCGAAGATCTAAGGCAAAATAAGTTCTCATTAATAGTAGATGAATCGACGGATGTTAGCAGGATTTTCTGCGGATGGGGCTAATGTCATGATGGGCAAAACTAATTCATTAATGGTACTTTTAAAGAAAGATATTCCTTTTTTGTTTGTGATGAAGTGCATATGCCATTCATTCCACCTTTGCGCTTCTTACGCTTCACAAAAAATACACCAAGGTTTGTCGAGGATCTTGTGAGGGATATTCATAATTATTTTAATTCTAGCCCAAAAAGAACTTCAGAATTCCGTGACTTTCAGGCTTTTTGTAACATAAAAACACATAAAATTCTGCACCCATCACAGACTAGATGGCTTTCTGTTCAAAGTGTAGTAAGTCGTATTTTAGAACAATACAATCCATTAAAATTATACTTTACTAACGCTGTTTTCCAAAATGATGTTTTAGCTACGAATCAAATTTTGAAAAGGTTAAACGACCCTACTACTCTCTTATTTTTGCAATTTTTAGATTTTGCTTTGCCTTTTTTCAATAATTTAAATAAGGATATGCAAGCAGAGAGCCCAAGAATACATGTTATATATAAAAACATATCCACTGTTTTAAAAACCATGTTTGATTGTTATTTAAACCGCGATTATTTAACATCAACATCTCTAGAGAATATTGACTACAAAAATCCCAGAAATTACTTACCAATAGAAAATGTTTATTTTGGAGCTAATGTGGCAAAAACATTATCAGAAATTACAATATCCAGCGAGCAAATACATTTTTTTAGGCTTAGATGTTTAGAGTTTTATATTGAAAGTTGTGATCAAATCCTTACTCGTTTCCCGCTTAAAAATAATCCAATTAAATTGTTTAGTTTTCTCGATCCCGTAAATGTCAAAACAGGAGTTATACCTTCTATTTCAGATGTGGCCAGGATTTTTCCAAACTTAATTAAGGAAGAAGCGCTTCAATCACTTGATAACGAATGGCGTCTTTTGCGTAATACCGATATTGTAAAATTATCTAATCAAGTCGAGACATTTTGGCAGGAAGTAAGTGAATATCGCTTAGGTGACGATACGCCTTTGTTTCCAATTTTAAGCCAATTCGCTTTTAATATATTGTGTTTACCCCATTCTTCCGCCAATGTTGAAAGAAGGTTCTCAGAAATTAACCTAATGAAAACGAAACAAAGAAATTCTTTAAATACAAAGACAATTACGGGATTAGTACATACTAAACAGTACTTAGGTAATAATAAGTGTTTCAATTTTAAAATAAGCAAAGAACTTATTTTAAAAATGGATAATAAAACACTAAAAGGTATTGAAGAGAGTGAAAATGACTAAACAACTTAATAATTATCGATTTATATTGTTCTGTTGTTCTTGTTTTATTACGTTAACAATGTATATTTAGATTCTTTGTGTACTTCTGATACCCGAAACTGATCAGTAATGAATAAAATATATTTATTCATAAAGTATTTGTTTTTCATTGCTTCATAAAGTATTTGTTTTCCATTGCTCAAATACCTAAAAAAATTGAAGAAAAACTGCTGATTAGATATATAAAAAAAAATTCGTAGAAAAAGCTTGCTTATTGCTTAACCTCACTTTTATCTGTTAAAAGCGTTCTAGGGGAAGCCTATGGCGCAACCGGCTATCTACCGATTTTAAACCGAAACCTACCGATTTATTTTTTGGGATCTACCGACATTGGTGGGTAGAAGCGTGGCAGCACTGATTAGGCGTAACAACTTGAGGCGCGTCATTTCGCTGCAGAACTACGATTAGAGCAGATGAACACTTACAGAACTACTGTAACGCCAATGTCTGCAAAAAATAAAACTCCACTTTCACGGACTTGTCATACTTTTTCTCCGCTAAAGCATTGTATGTCCAAAATTTCTCAGAAATGTTAGTCATAACACAAACACGAAAAATATGCCAAGTGAATAAACTTTAGTAAATGCTTGTACTAGGGCATTTGTAGGTAAATACTTAGGGTTGAGTGAATAAAATATGAAGTAGGTACATACTAGATCAAGCATTTACTTCTCTTTGTAGTAAGTACATAGCTTATGTAGTAAAAGCTCAGATTTTTCGAGTATTAACTTGAAATTGAGTGAATAATGGTCAGCTAAATACTTAGGTTGTTAGTAAATACTCGATAGTTTGTAAGGTAAGTGTAAAAAACATCGAAAAAGACGGAATGTTAGCCCTAGTCAGTCAAAACGTTTGTTAAGGTTTGATTCAGAAAGTGTAGATTTCTTAGGTTCCGAGTTTCTGCCAGAAAATAATGAACGCAGAGGCGGAGCACTATCTGCAAGAACAAAAATGGAGATATTTCTACACTTTCCTAAACTCAGCAATACTGTCAGGGTATCAAGTGGGAAGGTCCCGAAAATACGCAGTACTGCAGAATACAGCAAAATGTTTGAACGATGACTTTGACCTAGAAGGAGCCTTTGAAGATGAACTTTTGGCGTTTGCGCCGTACAGGAGTAAGAAAACGCGAGGATATTATTGCAGTTTTAAATTTATAACATTTTTGTAATACGTAGTACTGGTGTAGCGAAACAAATACTTAAATTGGAACGTTTATAAATAAATACTTGCTAGTAACTACTTCAACTTTTCCAGCAAGCGCTACTCTGTAAAAGTAAACGCTTATTCTCTCTAAATTAAGTATTTGCTTTTACTTGACAGACCTTACTTTACTAAAAAGTAAATACTTCCTAGTGTTTACTACTTTTTATTCACTTGGCTCAATAGCTCTCCTGTAAGATTTGCATTTTGTGACTTAGAATACTTCTGCATTCAAGCGACGAAATGTTCAGCGCATCTGCTACTCTCTCCAGTACGCATGAAATGGGTAACAGGGGACCGCTGTTTTCATTCTCTTCCTGGCATACTCTAATAAATTTAGCACGGGGTGTCGGTCTTCTCCATTGATCGTTTTTCCGGGCATTCTACAATTTTATATTGAAGATTGTGAACAGGACATCTTGAATTGCACGCCGATGTCAAGTAAGTTGTCACTCTGACAAATATGATTGAAGCGCACTCATACGTAACGACAAAGTTTTCGAGACGGAGACTCACAACTAAAAAACGTATGTCTTTGAGCACACCGAAGAAACCTTCACACACGGGGGTAAGTTTCATGTGATGTATGAGGAAGATGGAGATATATAAAGGGATACTTGTAGTCTTACTTTGACTCGCCAAGAACGGTGACTACAACTGTATTCGTGTAAGCAACCCCGTGCTGTGTTGCCACGTTGCTGGGTGGTCCACAGGCGGTAGGCTAGGTCGCAATGTTGTCAAATCTGTAGGGACTATGTGTGTATGTCAGGAAAGTGACAGTTTGAAAAAATATTTCCAAACTGTACGTTTGGACTCTGTACATGCCTGCAGTAATTTTGCATACTTCTCAATTGAGTCGGAAAACCACAAATCATTTCTTAGTACGGCCCTGTAACGTGCTCGGAGTCCGATCACGTGAAATATGCGTGAATTTGTTTAGGTTTAGTTTCTTTAGTCGATACACGGACAATAACTGCATGTATCTGTTTGACTAATATGATTCTTTTAATTTATTTGTTATACATGTTCGTAGCCAACTTTTTTCTTGTGCCAAATAAATATAGTGATTTATCAAAATAATTCATTGTTGGCTATCTTTTTGGTCGGGCGGACGAAAGCATCATGTTTAGTTTATAATGATTAATGAATTGATGATAGCGGTGCGTTGGAAGTGCAGGATCAACCTATTTGACACAATTTTTTGTAGATTTTGCTCTGTGATAACCAGAATATCGTGAAATTCTTCAAGAAAAAATTGCATAAACTTCAGAAAGTGTTATTTGTTCTGAAGTCGAATATCTACGAATCTCTTACGACAAGCGAAAAGATCAAATCGCTCCATAGATACGTGGTTTTTATACGTTTAGTGATTGAGAACATAGAAGAAGAAGCACCATGGGTACATTACTTCATAAGAGACACAGTGTATGGTCTGATCAATATGATATCAAATTCAAACAAAGATGCACAGTTTGGTTTGGTCTGTTGCAAAGCATTTGAAGTATTTTTGAAGGATATTATACCTTCGCGATTTGAGATGTTTGATGAATATCTTGTATTTACCATCAATTCATTGAAGGCCTTGGTTGTACAGGTAGGTTGTGTGTACTGCTTTCATACAAGAGTTTGAGGTTCTAAAAAAATTTACGTTATTTTTATTTGTAGCAACCGACTTTAAAAAGTATTTGTTTGGATCTTCTTGATTTTTTGATTGTGAAAAACTCTCAGATTATTCATCGAGGCATAGGAAAACTAGAGTTTCCACAGCATCCCGACTACGATAAAATCGTGAGAGTTTATAGAAGTTTGAACGGTAACACAGAACCAACATTAGAAGAAGAAATTAACAATTATTTGAAACAAGATTATTCAAGTACTCGCGAAGACAGCCTAGTGCATCTGAAAAGCGTTTTGTCTTCGAAAAAGACAGACTTGAAGAAATTATATGAAACCGTGCAAAGATCCAGAGGATTTTCAGATGATTGTGAAAGAAGTCTAATACATAGACTCGTTTGTAGTTTAGCGAAACTTTGCTGTTCACCTTGTGAACGAGTATGTATAAGAATATTTTTTTTATTTTTGACTTCTTATTCTGAATACTGTTTTAGGAAAGTTTTGAAGCAGCTAGATGTTTAGGCGAGCTTGGCCCAGCAGATCTAGGAACGTTGATCTTGAAACCAGAAAAGAACTTTTCTCATCCAACTTTAATATCTTTGGAACTACTTGTTGCCCAGGTATTACTAGTTTTGACAGAATACATTGTTGATCCAGACATTTTAGTTGTGAAGGCGGCTAGTGACGCTTTGTATGAAATCTTGATCAGCAAAGAAAGTCGCAAGATTATTGGTAAGTAACAGCGTACGAAAAAATAAAGCAGTTGATGACTGTCAGAGAAATCTGTGGGATGATGATTCAAGGTACGAGGGTGGTCTGAATAGTTTCCGACCTCAACGTGAAGATGGCAAAATTCGTAAAGAAAATCTAGCGAATTTCGTTGTTCATCTGTTAACAGTTACTCACTAAAGTTTCAGCCATTTTGGACGCGCAGTTGTTATGTAACAGTTGTTTGAGTTAGTTGATGTGAATATGGACAAAATCGAGCATCAAGCTGTCATTAAATATCTGTCTTTGAAATGCAGTACGCCTACGCAAATCAAAGATGAGTTGGATTCTGTGTATGGGGACTTTGCACCATCATTTACCACAGTAAAATTATGGGAAACTGAATTAAAACGTGACCGTAGAGCTTGGGAGACGATGAACGTTCGGGACGTGCAGAAACTGCAACTACAGACGAAAACATCGCCAAAGTTCACCAAATGGTGATAGACCACCGCTGACTTAAAGTTAGGGAGATAGAAGAGGTTATGAACATGTCAAAAGAACGTGTTTGTCACATATTAAATCAACATTTACGCATGAGAAAGCTGTCCGCGCGTGGGGTGCCTCGTTTGCTCACGTTAGACCATACACGTGTTCGAATGAACATTTTCAACGCTCTGTTGGTGCAGTTTAGGCGCAATAAATCCGAGTTTTGGTACCGATTAAGTACTGAAGATAAAACTTGCTTACACCATTGTCAGGTATCAAGCAAAGGGGTAACCGGCTCCAAAAAAGCTAAAAGTGTTTTTTCGTCTTGGGAAGTGATGGCGACTGTGTTTTTGGGGTAGTCATGTTATTTTAATCGATTACATTGAAACAGGAAAAACCATTACTTGACCAGCTGAAGGCAGAGAGAGAAAAACGGCCACATTTGCAAAAAAATAAAATCCTGTTTCACCAGGACAACGCACCGTCTCACATCTCAGCGGCTGCCAAGTCGAAAATCCACGAATTGCGGTTTGAACTGCTTGATCATCCGACCTATTCACCAGATCTAGCCCTAAGCGACTTCTGTTTGTTCCCTTAGCTAAAAATTGCGCTCGGAGGACAGATCACCTTCGTGAACTATTTTGCAGAGAAAAACCTACTATTTGGACGGGTTACCGAGATGCGAGTATCGCTGGGAGAAGTATGTAGAGTTACAAGTAGACTATTTTGAAAAATTAAAAAAAAAATAGAAAAAATGTCTTTTATCTTTGTTAGGTCGAAAACTTTTCAGATTGGCAATAGTTGAAGGCATAAATTAAAAAATTAGAAGGGAAAAGAAAATATTTCCTACCTTGCTGGTTTTTCTGAAACATGTATTGGATTTATAATGTATTTAATCTTACATAAATTGTCTCTCTTGAGAAGTTTTTACCAACCTATTTCATTTGAATAAAATTTAGTTTGTATATTTAAGATATAATCCGTATAAAAAACCTAAACTAGTTTTGAAAAATGCTGAAGTTTGGCATTAAAAAATGTGTATCGTATATGATCTGAGTAATATCGTCTCATCACAATGTTATTTGAAGATTATTCGTTTCTAACGTTTTTGTTTTTTTCAGACGGAGTGACGGACAAAGTCATTCTACAGCAAGACAGATAGTAACGCTACTTTTATTAATTCGAGAATGTATTTATTAAATTCACAATAAATGTGCATACTGCCTTCGTTTAGCAGGCGAATCTTCGAATATTAACAAATTCAACTGCTTCCATTATTCTTAGCTTAGCTAAATTTTCGATTCGCTCCAAGTAATTTTTTTCTTTCACCACTGCCCAGTAAAAGAAACCCAGCGGACTTAAGTCAGGCGAACGGGCTGGCCACGAAATTGTACCAGATTTCCCTATCTATCTTCTCGGGTATTCCGCATCAGATACTCTAACTGAACGGGCACAGTTTGTCGTGCAACCGTTCTCTGAAAATCGTGGATTTTCCCGGTATCTCTGTGACCTTGTTTGACAAAAATCAACTCTTGGAAGATAATCCCGGGGTTGTAGACATTATACTCGCTGTACGCGATACTGGTGGAGCTCGTCCTTACGCAAGATTCTGCTCTACTTTTGGGAACTCCTGTAGTTGCTTCTATTTGACATACTGAATTACTCGGGGCGTGTTCGGTTGCTTGTAGTACGACAATATCTAATTAAAGGAAATTCTTCCTGCACCATGTGCTTGATTTGGGAATCGTCCTTTTGAAAGTAAACGGTGCACATTCACAAAAACTCCGTGGCCCGGATGACGAGCAGCATTTGGGTACCTCTCTCGATAAAGCCTAGCTGCAGTACTAGCATTGCATCTAAATTCCCCATAAATGAGGTGTATGTTGGCATATTCCTGTATGGTGGCACTACACAATCATGAACTAATTAAAGTGGCGTTACTATCCGTCTGGCTGTCACTACGTAGGATGACACTGTCCGTCACTTTGTCTAAGAAAAAAAATGAAATTTGTTGTAAAATGAACGAAAAAGTCATCACAGGGTGTAGATCTTTCTCAATTTTTTTTGAAGCTTGTAATTTGAAATGTACAGACATTTTTTATATTTTTCTGATAACTATTGTGACTTGGTCTATCCACCATTTACGGCTTGACGTTGACTTCTGGGTATTTTACCAGCTTTCTCGGTGTTCCAGACCACTGAGCAGTGGCATAAACATTTTTAATACCTTGTATCTTGGTACATATTAGGACTTATGTTTTAGGCACTTTTTGGATGTACTTTCTACCCTTGACATAGTTTTTAAATCACCCTGTATAAATGGTCCATGTTTTTTTCTCGTCTACGTTATTGATTAATTTGATATTCTTTTAATATTCCAGATGCCAGCATTGATTTGGGTACGGGAACAATAAACAAAAAATACATACTGCCTTATTTTCGCACACAACCGTCAACAACTAAACTAACGATTGACTTGTCGTTGTTCAAATCAAAAGTAGGGTCTGATAGCCTTTGGTGCCCTTCAAATGATGTCCCTCACAATGTCTGGATTACAAAGTTACTAACAACGATTTTGGAAACTGTTTCTGATGGTTGCTTTTTGCAAAAATTGGTCGATGTTGCGAAATTGAAGGTATTTTTTTGCTCTCACTTATTTATCACTAGATCAACATTCACAAGCTTTCTTGTATCTTGCTTGGAAAAAGGAATATGACCTTTCACAATCAAGACACTGAGTAATTAAAAACTTATGTGTCTTCTTATAGCACTTGGTATATTTTAATAGTCAGTTATTTAATTTTCAGCCAAAGTTTTGCGAAAAAGCGTTACCTTATCTTACAAATTTCATTCTCAGCCTGAAGGAGAGAGATTTATCAGACATATTATCGCAAAAAATTAATTATTTCTTCTCGTGTCACTGGGATAGAACTGTCACGAACGATTCCAATATTGATTCTGTGATAACTAACAAAAAATCTGTGAAGTGCATGCTAGATGTGGTTGAAGTTAATAGGCTACCAGATAATACTAAGTCAAGGTAGGCTTTTTAACTATTATTTCTCAACAGTGTAATATGCATCTTACCCTTACTATTTTTATTTTGTACTAGCATTTTTATATGTTTTCCTTTATGTTATTTCAATGTGATAACATACATGTATATTTCTTTTTGTTGAGGCTTGTTATTTTTTAGAATAACTCCCTTGAATATAAACTTCTTGAAAGCTGCTAACGCGGCAGAATTTTGCTCAGCTCACTTCACGGCTCTGTTATATTCTGACTTATGGTGTCAAACAAAAATTGATGAGATTTTGGATAGAAATAATCCGTTAGCTGAGCAACGCTCTACGATGTTAGATACCATTTATGAAAATGAAAGCGAAGAAATAGGAGAGGCCTTACAAAATATACTGAGAAACGTAAGTTAATATTTCAAGAAAATGTATGAAGATGAAATTAGAAACTTCGCACGAAACAGCAGCTCATCAAACGGATTCTTATCGATTAGAAGGAGCCCAGCCTATATTTAGTTATCAGCAACTTGAAAGGAAAATGGGCGTCGGCGGGATTGAAACGCCCATCTTCTCCATTTCGTGGAGCCGACCTAGCCAATTAGTCTACAGCACCATTTACTAACTAATTTTCAGTATCGACTTTTAGAGGCAAATTCAATCCTACCCACGCCATTGTTCCCCTGTTATTTCAAGCTGCATGGTGACCCATCTAGCGACGTTGAAATGAAACACGGTGGTACCGTGATATGTGCCCTCGTGAGCCCTGAACCGTACCCCATTCGTAGCCCATTTACGCCCAAACAAAACGCAACATGCCCAAAAGCGAGATTGTTCAGGCCCGTATTTTCCTCAATGATTATTTTTATAGACAAAGTGGGCATACCTGTACTTTTCACAATTCTTTATTCGCTGGAAGTACTTGAATCATCGCCCGAATGGTTAATATTAATTATCACATGTTGAACTTCAATATCGATCATTTTGTCCATATCCCACATCTTTGTTTCGATTGTCTCTTGAACGTGATGGATGCAATCTTTCCAATGGATTGCCGTCATTCTGTTGACATCTTCATAAAACAAATTTTTCACGTCAGAAAATTTAAATGTTCTATTATTTGAAGCCACACAGTTTTTTTATATTTGAACAAAATGTTTCAATGAGATTTAACTCACAGTGATAAGGGGGTAGCATTAAAACCGTCTTATTTTTGTTTTTAGCCATTTCGTCAATAACATTAAGATAATATTTGTATTTATGCTGCCTGACTAGCTGGATAAGTTCTGATTCGACCATATTTTCATTGAAACTAATATCTTTTATAGGAACCATTGTTGAAAGTCTGCCTTCCTTGTGGACATTGTGGGAATTTTTTCTAGAGTGGTATGCAGCATTATCAAGTACAATGATGGCATTGTCGTCAAGCTTTGGGAGCGTTTATTTAAGCCATTGTTCAAACGAACTCCCGTCCATTTCTTTATGGTAGTCGGTCGTTTTCTTTGACTCAAATGCCCATAGGGCAGTGCGCACAAAGCCATCTTCACTGCCAATGTGACAGATAACAAATCGTTTTCCTTTTCCTGGAAATGATTATTCCATATAGTATTCAAGAAAGCTAATAATACAAGCAGACTATCTAACAGGTATTGATTCCAAATCTACCAGATATAGCTAAGCTTAGTATAGCTAAGGTTTCACCGTGGGCTCATAGATTCAGTCTACTTGACACCATTTTTACAACACAAATGACGAATTGGTTAGATACACGTACCTGACGGACTCTTTAGACCAGCGGCTAGTCCATCTAAGAAGGCTCGACTTGCTGATTTAATTGTAGAGTCAGTCCATACTTTAGGTTTTGTATGACCTGCATTTATCCAGGTTTCATCCAAGAAATCAATCTTCCTGCCCTGGTTGCTGTATTTCGGTATTGATTCTAAGTAACTTCTTCTCCATAAAATCAGTTGGCTGTCCATCAAAATACTATTTCTGCCCCAGTTTCAACACTCAAAATGAAGTTCTTTGAGTAAACTATAGAATGTGGTCCCTTTGAAAGTAGGTAAGTCTATGGTGGGTTCTGCCTTTCAAAAAATTGATGAACTTTGCGTCTGATAGCATTTCGATCAAAGTTATCAACTGTATCCAACAGCTTCGTGTATGCAGAATCTTGTGTGGTGGAGACAATTTTTTGTTTTTGAAAATTGTGTTAGGACATAATCCTGTTTTGTTCACCACACGTCTTCAATATCATGGATTTTCATTTCAGGATGCTCTAAAATTTCGCTCCTATAAACGTTAAGGACAATTTATTTTGCCTGAATGTCCCTCCTTGTCACGTGTTCGGGGAGGAGACATCACTGAAGAGGAAGCATGGCTGAAGGAAGCATTGGGAGAAATATTCTTAGGGCCGTATCGTCAGTCGTTCCTACAATTGTAGGACGCCTTTATGGCGACCTTGATTGTCATACGCCTTTCTCTCCTTCAAAAATTTCTAGATTGCACCTGTTCTGTATCAGCGTCAGCGCTATCCTATTGTGAAGATATGTTTTCTTTTTAAATTGTAGGAAATTTGAGGCTGATAAAACATGATATAACTCAGAAGCATTCACAATTTGATGCAAATAGATATTTGTGACATAACCTCAAAATAGAACGCTGACACGGAAAAGTAGAAAACTCTGACAATCAAGGAGGCCATAAAGGCGTCCTACAATTGTAGGAACGACTGATGATACGGGCCTTAGTTTCTTCTGCTGTTTCCGTAGACGACAAGCTAACGTATAAACACAAGCTATGTATGCACCGAATATGAACATCAACCGCTGGCGTCGGCGGATCGGCGATACCCCGAGCCCGAGTTCTATCCTGCATTTGTTCGTTGTTTTATGGCCGAATAACCAATAGCTGTTGCAACGCTTAGGCGCCTGCGGCTTTACCATGCTGCATCTTTGTTGTGCACATGCATACATTACATGCATGTCTGCCATTTCCTCAAAAACCGAGAAATTTCGCAAAAAAATACGAGAATAATTCATATTTAGAAGAACTGACGCGCAAATGTCAAACCTCCAGAAATGAGTTTTTGTTTTCCAAGGCACTGGTGGTATTTTTAACAAAAATTAATAAACCAATTTTGTCCAGTTGCATGCAATAAAATGGTTTTTTTTTTCTCGAAAGCGACGTGAGATACGAAAAAAATATAAGAGGCAAAGAAGTTTTATTTTTAGAGGCTTAATCAAACAACAAATATTAAAGTTACAAGAAAGTCAGTGGCGTTCATTTTTTTGACAATAATATTCGCTAAGGTGTCCCGGGACGCCACTGTACCTGAATAATTCTAATTTATTTGGGGCTAAATTATCCTCTTAATACAACAGAATCGAGTAAATATTTTTTACGATATTCATTTGTTTTTTTTAAATTTACCGTCCTGCATCTTGAAAACTCTGCATTTCCGGACCCATGTTTATGGAAAGTTTTTTTTCATATTTTTTAACAAAGAATCACCCTCTAAGATATCTCTGTCTATTTTTATTTAAAAGATTTGCTTTTATTTGGCTTAAGATGCCTTTTGCAATCCACAAAAACCTCCACCATTTCCACCAATTGTCTGGGCTCACTAGAAAAGTATGAGAAAATACAGGCTTGCTCCTTCTAGTTGGACTGAATTCGTTGAATTCTTCAATGTTTCATTGGAGTGATCCTTGTAAGTCACGCGAGCTTTCGATCTTCCATGTTTGTACCCCTTATTTACAACATTATTTTAGGCTTATAAAGCGGTAGGAGATTTAGATGCTTTATCAGGTTGTGGGACATACTTCTTGTTGAAACCGCAGACTCGGGTAGAGCATTACAGGCAGTTCGAAAATTGGGAACGTGTTGTACAATTTTATGCAATCAAATCGCCAATGGACAGGGACGATTTGAGGAATCTCATGGAAAGCTTCAAATCATGTCGTTTGTACCAAATTCCTTTGTTGTGTAGTAAGGAGTATGAGAAAGAAATGGAACAGACACAGTACGAATGCTTATGGAGGTTAGTGGCAGAAGTTTATTATAGTAAAACATTGGCCAAAGAACCGTAGATATTATTTATGATATACGCGTTATTAACCATTAACTGCTGTGAAGTAAACTAACCCTAAAATAATCTTCTGGACCTTGCAAAGGAATGTTGGGCTTTAATTTAGGTACCTGGCAACATCAAAAATAATGATTTTCAACAGTTTTTAAACATCGAAAAAGGCCATTTCAATGTTTATATCGTAAATCACTTATATCTCGAAAACAGTTAATCTTAGAGCGAAAACACAGTGGAAGCTGGTTTCCTGCTTACCGGCAACCAGCGCCGATCGGTACCGAATTTCGGCGCTCTTGTCATTATGATGAATGTCATCAGTAGTTCAAGGCGTTGAAAGATGACCCCGACCGCTTTTTGCAGTACACTAGAATCAATCATGAAACATTCAATTATACCCTGGAAAAAGTTTCACACATTCTAACTAACCTCCACAGTCTTAACTAATTTGTCTATATTGATTATCCACATCAATCTGCTCTGATAACCGGCTAGAAAGAACTAAATAATCGTTCCGGTAAAATCGGTAACGCCGACAAGCCTGAGCCTGCCAACTCAAGAGCATTATATTACGAGTATTATAGAAGCTTATAGGCGCCGCTCGGCGCTGGTTGCCGGTAAGCAGGAAACAGACTTCCACTGTGTTTTAGCCCATACAGATGAGTTACCAAGCATCTTTTTTGTTCAGAATGATCAAAAAAACTTAAAAAACATGATAATGGGCGAAAAACTCATTTTTTATAATTCGAAAAAATGTAAACAAATTTGCACCTGTTTACGGATCGAAAAAATCTTGATTTAAGTTAAGGAACATTCAACAAACATAATTACAAAAAAAAATCTTGCACGTATCTTGCGAATCATTGATAGAATGTTTCAAGACTTTTCTAATATGTTTTTATTTCCAGATTATCTGAGTGGGATACATGTGATAAGAATCCATCAGATGTCATTAGCAGTGTTCGTTTCGAAGAAAGCAGATACTTTGCTCTAAAATCTCTTCATGGTAACAACTACACGCTGTTCGACCAGTTCGAAAAACTTCAGGTACAGTCTGTGATAGAAAACTTGAAGCATATTAGTTTCGAAAGCAGTCATAATTTGTACCCAGTCTTGATGCAGTTGCAGTCAGTTGTTGATGCAGAAGATTATGCTGAGTGTAGTAAAGTGAAGGACTTTGGAAAATTGCTGACTAAGTGGCAGCTGCAATTTGATATTTTGAAGAATAACTATCACTATTTGGAGCCTGTTGTAGCACAAAGAGCGACATTACTAAAGGATTATCTGAGAACTAATGAATCTCCTGTTTTGGAGCAGTATCTTACAGAAATGCTTTTTGATTTATCAAGTAAGTTTTCACGTACCAGCATGAAATTTTGGAAAATGGTTTATAAGCCTTGTGTTGACATCTTTATAGATCTATGCAAGGATGAAAAGCAGTTTAAAGATGGATGGAAGGTTTTGGAAGATTTGAAAAAAATTGTGAAACAGAATGATAAAACTAAGAACGCAATGATTCAACTTCTTGATGCTCAGCTCTCGTGGATGACAGGAGATGGAACTTTGGCAAAGCATATATTGAATAAACTGTCCAAAAATGAAGATATTGGACCAAGGTAAACACTATATAGTAGTTAGTCTACAATGTAATATATCTTGTCACATTTTCAGTTTCTGAACAAAGAATTGAATCGACCAAAAACCTCATAAGTCACACAATTTGAATTTTTTGTTAAACGATGCAAACTGAATCATTGACAAATAACCGTTTTTATAGTATTATTATGGGCTCGATAAAGTACTTGCGTTTTAAGAGATTAAAATTTCGAATAACCTTCACAGTTTATCGATATTAACAATAGAAAAACTGGAAAAACTGTTGGGGGCGTTGTTTTAGTACTAAATCCGGTTAGTGGTATAGAGGTTGTCCAAGATAAGGATCTTATGCATGGGGATCTCAATACTTGTGGAAGATACAGCTTAGGTTAAATTAGAAAAAAGTTGCGTTCTTTGGGGCGGACTTTATTTTAAGAAATGTCTGAAAACTAATGAATTTTTCCCATTGGCACTTTTAGGTACTACATGATGTTTTTAAATTTTGTGCCCCACGTTTCGTTTTTAAGAAACCATCATCAACATTATTTTTTTATATGGTCCGAAAAAATTACATCCTATATCTAATAGATTTTTTTATACGTATTCATGTTACATTTACTTTCTTGTTTTTAAGTAAAATGCGTTGATTCTGTTTTTTTTTTATTTTTTTATGAAGGCGTTGCAAACAAATGGCTTGATGTAAATACCTGTCACCTAGTATTATTATTCTTGTGTATGGTTAATATTGCCTTATTATCGTCAAAAATGCCAGACGGTCATTTCAGCAACGAAGAAAAGTTCGGCATGCTTTCGTGCGACATTTTGTGCTACAAAAATACTGGAGAAATGTAGCTTGATAAATTTCCCGGAAGAAGGCAGTCGATTTATGTTTTCAACAAAAAAAATGATTTTACAAGATAGGTGTTATGCGTGTAATTCGATATCCATTATGCGTACATGTATTTATACGAAGAGCTTTTTAAAATACTTACATTATAGTTTTGGTAGGATAAGAGATTTCAGGCAAAGCAGGTCATTATGGTGGTCTTTCGGTTGCTACGTCAGCATATGTATTCATTAGTAGAGCTCCGTGTTCAATTTAAATAGTTTCAATTAATTTGTGGCGGAAACGTGGCGGTGCAAAGGCATTTACACAATTCTATTACATAGATATTGAATCTTGTAATGAATGTAAGTAATTTTAAATGTTTGCAGGCTTCGGGCATTGGCATTAAAACAGCTTGGAGAATACCTCAGCGATACTAATTCTGAAAATACGCTAACGATAATCAATGATTATTATCGTAAGTCGATCAGTCTGATGACATCTGCCGCAGAAAGAGACGAGGATAGATGCAATATCGATACATATGAAAAATGTGCTACATTCATGGACCAACAGTATCAACAGGTAGATAAAAGCACTAACAATCAAAAGCTTTTGTTTTTATAAAATATATTATCGTTCTTACTGTTTAGATTCTGTATATGTATAGTATATCTATTCGTCATTGACTGTCAAGACGGTCCGTAGGACCTTTGCCTTTGTGTCAGTCAGTTTGTCATATTGTCAGCCTGGTCAGCCAGAAACCAGACATGATCAATACAAAGGAGAAAGAAAAAAAATGAAAAAAGAGGAAATGCAAAGTGTAAGAAATACGAGGAATGTCTTTTAAGTTTTGCATATGGAAATAAAACAACACGGTAGGTACACATCTGCATGCGCTCGAACCTATTTTCGAAGCACTTATTCCACACGTTTGCTGACAGATCCAAAACGGCATCTTTGAATGCGTCAACTGCTTCTTCTGGTGACTGGAACCTTTGACCACGCAGTATGTTTCTAATTTTCGAGAAAGTAAAGAAATCGTTAGGACTTAGATCGGGACTATATGGAGGATGGTCCAATAATTCCACGTTTTTTTCCGTTAAATACTGCCTTGTTTTTTGGGCTGCGTGCGACCTTGCATTGTCTTGGTGGAGGATGATTCTTCTTTCGGGGTTGATTTTTCGAAGCTTGGTGATGACTTTTGGAAAACAAATGGTGGTATACCAATCCGCAGTAACAGTTGTTTGCTCATTAAGAGGAATTGTTGCAATATGACCCGCTTTTGACACAAATGTCGCGACCATCTTTTTCGAAAAACTTCGAGAACGGATGACTTTTGTTGGCTTTTCTTCAGCTTGGAACACCCAAACAGCCGACTATCGTTTATTTTCTGGTTCATAACAGTAAATCCACGATTCATCACCACTAACAATGCTGTACACATTTTTTAAGTTTCCGGAATTGAACCGGTCAAGCGTTTTTTGACATCAATTAACCCTGGCTGCTTTCTGCTCTTCAGTCAACAGGTGGGGTATCCAACGAGAAACTAATTTTCTTACTCCTAATTCTTCATGTAAATTTTTTTGAATTGAGGTCTTTGAGATCTTCATGGACGCCTCAATCTCGCGATATGTGACATGTCTATCTTCAATGATCAGTTTGCGCACAGCATCGACGTTTTCCTGTTTGACTGCCGTTTTTGGTGCTGCACCCGCCCTGGAATCGTCGTCCACGTTTGAATTCGCCATACAATGGGATATTGTCGACTGATGTGGCGCTTCGTTGCCGAAAACAGACAGTAACTTAGCAAGGCATTCTTGTTGCGATATTTGTATCTGAAAGTTGTAATAAATTTATGTAATAAACTTTGAATATAAGTTTACCAAAGAGTGAGGTTAAGATTCAGTATTGACGTTCGATCCGCGCGGCCTACTATATTTCTATATGCAAAACTTAAAAGACATCCCTCGTACAACTATTAGAAAGGCGTCAGTATTGTTGAAAATTACTGTAATAATTTTGGATACCGGAAAAGAATTTGGTTGGATTTTTGTTAAAATGTTATTTTAAGTTCAATGTAATCCTCTAAAAAAACGGGTGTCGAGATCTCTGTGTAGAATTTTGTTTGAAATATACGATGGGGCATTGGTGATGATTCGTAGGCTTCTGTTTTGCAGGACCGGCAGAGCTCGCATGTGCGTCTTCGCTAGAAAGCAGCAAAGCTGCATATTAGTGGTGGGTCTGATGATCATTTTGTAAAGTCGAATTTTGTTAATCAAGCTCGGTTTTGAAGATCTACTTAATACGGGACACAGCTGTCGGGAAGTAATTTGAAATTTAGTTTTAAGCGTTTCTGTGTGTTTTCGTCAGATCATACCCTTGTCAAGTGTAACTCCAAGGTATCTCATGGAATTTTCCCACGGTATCGAGTCCCATCCACAGCGAACACTGACGGGGCGCCGCGACGCTTTTTGGTACAATAGATGCGTTTTTAAATGGCTAATTTTGATCAGCCACCAATCTGCCCACTCTAACACTTCCTCCACCGCACATTGTAGCCAGTCATGCCAGGTTACCAGAATATCAATGGGCCACTAATGCAGTGTCATCAGCATTGAGATAGACTTCACAGTTGCTGAGGAATAAAGGATTGGTCCAAAGACCGAACCCTGAGGAACACCGACCCTTATAGGCCGTGTTGTTGACAGTACGTTGTTGATTTTTATTCGAAATTTCCTTCCTTCTAAAAAGGACTTAAGAAGTTTTAGAAGCCAGAAAGATTAATTTATAGAGAATGTCATCATGCCACATCTTATCAAAAGCGTTAGGGACAGACAGAAACACGATGCCAGTACTTTTCTCATTGGTGAATTCAATAGTTATACGCACAACCAGTCTTACTGCCTGCAGCTCCGTGCTATGGTCCGATCGAAGCCCGAATTGAACGTCAAGAATCATATTATGATCCGACGAGAAATTCTGAAAATGGCGGAGAATCACCTTTTCAGCGAGCTTAGACCGCGCTGACGTTAAACTAATAGGACGATAATCCTGGGGAAATATCGAACCAGCCTTCTTTGGGATCATTCATAACCTCGACCACCTTCCATGCCTGAGGGAAATATTGGGTCCTGAGCATTGCGTTGATTACTGTCACGAGATACGTCAAATCTTTTGGAGAGAGCAGCCTGAGCACCTTGTTAGTAATCTGATCCTCTCCAGGTGCTTTATGCACCTTGAGGTCTTTAATATATCAAGGAGCTCCGCTGGTGTGCAGTACTGATGTGTGCTATAATCTGTAGATTCTATGTACGACGAACGTAACAAAATTTCATTAGCTAATTAATGCTAGTTTCTTAGTATACTAAGGGTACGTACCAGGACAAATCGTGTTTTAGGTTAATAATTATATGAAGACAGAGTTGTTCCAAAGAAAAGTTCTGCATATGCAGTCATCGAAAAAGACGGCATCCGAAATTGAAAAACAAAGAAAGAAAACGAGAGATGAGGCCAGGGCAGCGGCGATACACAATAGACAAAGCAATATTGACGAAGTTGAAATAAGAAATCTTAAGCAAGAAAGGTGTCAGTATTTGAAGATGGCAATGGAGTAAGTAAAGAAAAATTACGAAAAAGTATCAAAAAAAGTATGCTTTAAACATTGACATTCTTTGAACTAGATCAACACCGTCTGTAAATTAAGTAATGAGACCGGCAACCTAGCGTTCGAGATGGCAACACTGGAGACGCTGGGCATGGAGGGAGACAGGGAAACGTGATCCGCCTTCAGTGCAAGTTTGAACTCGCTTGAGTCATTCGGTTGTCAGTAGCGAGTTTTTCCTATTGCGTTCTAAAAATGACTTACATCAATTTAAGGGTACAATGCAAGGACTGGCGAAGTCCGTTTTTTAGGCAAATTAACATCATGTTTTTACCCAGTTTAAACTTATCTATCGGGATGTACAAAAACGAGACATATTACCCTGAAAATAAGCAATTTATAAATGTATTGGTGGTTGTCTGCTTTCTCAAACGTTGTAAAAACAAGTCAAGTCCAAATTTTTTTGCTCTCCTGCAAAATTATAAGAAATGGACTTGACTGGTTCTAGCATTGGCAGTAACTCTGTGCTATCAGGTTTTGTTTCAGACTCAGTCTCATCACTTAATTCACATACCTTGTAGGCTTCCTTTGAACTAAGTGAACAAGGTGCATATACAGACTAACAAAAGTTTGGGATGCATCAAATATCTGACTTATGACTCTTTATCAGACATAATTTGACGTAGACCGCATAGTTTTCGAAATAACAATAAATGATATTTTATTACATGTCCTAATAACTATTTTTGACTATTTCTGATCATAAAAAAATGTTATCACTGGGCAGCTTTTGAAAGCTTATTATCACTCACTAGACTACTAAATGACGGACTTAGCTTGGCTGAGCTTAAAGAATTGCGACAACCAAATGTAAATTTCCGAGCAGTAACTTTAATGATTTACTTGTTTTAGATTCTATTTGAAGAGCTTAAAGAATGGCGACAACAAAATGCTCATTTTCCGCGCAGTATCTCTGCTACTAGAAAATAGAAGCAATCAAGATATTGTTGATCTAACTAAGAAATATTTGGAAATACCCAGTTACAAGTACATCACAATGTTACCCCAGCTCATACCTCACATCACAGATGATAGCGGTGATAATTTCAATCACGTCGTGAACGCGATTGTACTGAAATGTGCTGAGGAACATCAACATCACACTATTCCTATAATATTATCGCTGCTTAATGCTCATAAGGATAAGGAATATAGCAGCGGACAAACGAAAACTATTAGCAATGACGGTAAGTCGCCACCTGTCATAAGATTTTTAATTTCGGCAAGAGAAATCTTGTTCCATTGACGTAGCTTGCTCCTGAAAGACCCCATATCGAAGTCTGTTGAGGTGAGGGGGGAAGGTGAAATTCGAGGTGAACATTTTTCACAAGACAAAACCGTTTAAATTACCTATATATATATATATATATATATATAGAGGATCTTTTTGAAAAACATGTATATTTATACCACTAAGAAAAAAGTTGATTGAAGAATAGAGTATTTGTTTGTGTTTTAATACGTTTCGTCCAGTAAAAACTGATATATTTTTTTGTTTTGTTCAAGTACGTAGTATTATTTTCATATTTTGTTTTTCTGATATTCACATTAGCAAAATGAAAAAAGAGTTTCGCGAATGCGGATACGAATATCAAGGAACCTACAAATATTCGTTGCATCCCTGGATAGCTGGTAGTGGCAAATAGTTAATGCCGCGCCTGGTATAGTTGTAGTCACTGTTCTTGGCGGGTCAAAGTAAGACTACCGGTATCCCTTTATATCTCCCCATCTCCCTCATACACAGTGTTGCCAGAGCGAAGTTTAAAATATCCGTCACACGTATCGCAAAATTCCGCTACATGCCGCTACGGTCTAAAAATTTAAGGGGGGGGAGGCTTAAAATAAACAAACAAATATATTTTTTACATATTTACTTTTTTTAAACACTGTCTAAAAAACCTACTAAAAATACAAACAGTAACATAATATAATTGCAATTTTTCGTAAAAACATAAAAAGTATACCTCAAAAAAAAACAAAACTGTCTTTGGTTTAGAATTAGGAACTAATAAAAAAATAGAAACTATCACCAATATCTTAATCTTAATAGAAAAAAAAAACTAAAAATAAAGACAAAGAAGAAGCGGAAACGTGGAAATGCCTACGTTTGCTTATTTTATTCACAGTCAGAATCAGAAATTACTTCTTCTTCAGCTTGTTCTTCCTTATTTACATTATATAAATTCTTTTTATATTTGTTTAAATGATTCTCATTAAAACTATAGGATAAACAGCACTGTTTTTTTGATTCCAAGTCTAATTTAATTGTAAGAAGTGCAGACAAAGTTGATGGTATTATTTTATTTCTTTTTTTTTTGTTTTGTAATCAAGCATATAAGAAAAAGTTCGCTCAACATCAGCGTTTCCATGAGGCAATGTTAAAATGATTAGAGCCAGTTTACCTATATTGCGAAATAAATATTCGTCATTAAAATTTTTGAGGTCGTTTACAAACCACCGAATCGTTAATGGTCTGCTATCGCCTTTCCATTATTCCTATTTTCCAGAAGAAAAAGCGTTAAAAACAAATTTCGCGACTAAGATTTATTTCTGGATCAAACTATAATATGTTAGATATTTAAGCAGTTTTGTTACTTACCAGTAGATTTAATATTAAAATCTGCAGCAAATGATATATCAATAAAATGATCAACACAAAAATAAGAACACTAATATAAACGAAACTAAACAGTATATACCCAGAGCTGAAAAATACAATACAAAGCGAGAAACCTAATATTATGTCTGCCTGCTGAGACCTGTTAGAAACGATTAGTATTGAAAGCAGTACGTACGCCATCTGTTATTGAAAAAAAAAGGCAAGTGGAATAATTCTCTTCTCTGTTCCTAGATGGCTCAAGCGGCACCAAATGCACCAATTTTATTATTAATGTGATAATAAATCAGACTCTAGCCACTGCCTATTTAGGATTTAGAACGTTATTAACGTTAAAACAGTGAAATAAATATGATAGTTTTGTATGTAAAAAATTCCGCTACATTTTGGGCTAATTTGCTCTACCGCCGCTACGCCGCTCTTCTCAAAATAATCCGCTACAAATAGCGGAATTCCGCTACGTATGGCAACACTGCTCATACATACACATGCAACCTACCCCTGTGTGTGAACGTTTGATCGGTAAACTCAATGTTGTGTCTCCGTCTCGAAACCTTTGTCATTACGTATGAGTGTCCTTCAATCATATTTGTCAGAGTGACAAATTACTTGACATCGGTGTGCAATTCGAATTGTCCTGTTATAAATCTTCAATATAAAATTGTACAATGCCCGGAAAAACGATCAATGGAGAGGGCCGACAGCTTGTGCTAAATTTATTTGAGTATTTCCAGGAAGAGAATGAAAACAACGGTCTCCTGTTACCCACCCTATGCGTCCTCGAGAGAGTAGCACTTGCGATGAAGATTAGTCTGCGCAGTGTTCCGCCCATGGTACGGAGACTCGATCTGTTTACTTATTTCATAAAGCGTTGAAGACGTAACCGCCAAGAACGGTGACTACAACTATACAAGTGACGATGAAGTGAAAGACAGCTAGTTCCTAGTTGAAATCTTGTAGGGAAACCTACATAGTGTCAAAAAAACGTCACTTTATTAGTTATTTAATACCCCTGCCGGAAACTCAATATCAAGTAACAAGTGATTTAGGTTTTGCGATGTCTACAATATCACATATTTTTGTCAGTGTGTCTGTCGACCTGTTTGTGTGTTGGCGTTACTTTAGCTTCGTAATTTTGGAAACTTTCGCACAGATTTCGCTCTTCAATTATCAATCGCCGACACTCTCTGATACATTGACGTAGGGGGCCGCCTTTTTTCATGTGCCCTCTCAAAATTTCTCCCTCGCTCCGCCACTCTGGGCATCTGGATATAATTTGCTACCTGCCTTGCGCTGGCTTTATCCGGCACTGTATTCAGCATCCCAAAGTACCAGAGTGTACCTCGTTTTATTCACTTGTAACAGTGAGAGACCAGTGGTTTGTTCGTACTGCCTGTTATTTGATAGTCAGCAAACTGATAGTCGGCGACAAGTCATGACCTAGTTTATTCAGTTAGCTGTCACTGACTGTATAGATTGCGTACATGAGAACGTTACGAGTTGGCTGAGGGAGCTTGGACCGATTACTGACAACTGATCCACTGTTCGTACAGAAACTTCTGACTTGTTTGATGACTGTCAAATTAGTCAGCAGATTATTATCCAGTAAATTGTTAGAGCCTGAAATCAAGTACAATCATTATCCGAATGTAACATCTTTCAGCATGTGGTAGACAATTTTGGAAAAGTTCGGGTATTTTGATTTTTTGTGGAATTTTATAAACAATATAATACTTTTAGGTGATTTTAATTTAAATTATTATGGTAAAAGCATGAAAACAAGAAAATTGAAAGAAACCATAAATAACTATGGGTTCAAATTGGAGAGAGTACCAGAATAACATCATTATCAGAGACTTTGTTAGATCTTGTATATTGTAAATTTCGAATGAGCTGGGATTAAAGCTGTACATACACCAAAAGTTAGTGATCACAGTTGGACAATGCTGCCCTTGGTAGGGCATTTTTCTGATACAAAAATTAAGAAAATTGTAAATACTATTAAGTACGAAAAACTTGAACGAGAACTTGCTGGCTGCTATTGGAATTTTGGTGAGAATATGGAAAAAATATATGACAACATAATAGGAAATATAAAAACTTGTTTAGATCTTGCAACTGACAAAAAAGTGATTTGCTCGACAAAAAATACACCCTGGTATAACAAGAATATTAAGGCAGCTCAAAATTTGAGACAAACAATACAATAAATGTATATATTCACAAAATCAAATGATGATTGGGAGGTATATAAAACTCTTAGGAATAAATGTGTATATGTAATTGCGATGATTATGCATGAAAAATGTATTGTAAATGTTTTTATAAAACTAGAATAGTAGGGCTTTTGTTCCCTAACACTTTTCGTATATTGTACTAAATACAAAGATATTTTCTCTAAGTATCCGCATATTTAACAGTGATGCTGGCTGGGGTGAAACTAATATTTTCCCTATATGTGCAGACTCTCACTGAAATAAATAAGTAAAAATACTACAAAGATTTGATAACGTCCTTGAATAACAAAGGGTGAATGTAGATTAAAAAGCTAAAACGGCTGATCATAATTACAATTACCAACATCTGCTTAAATACCTATAAGTTTCACAGAGTTCCCAACATGGACAAAAAGAAATGAGACCACAAAAATACAAAAGCTCATCAAGGGAAAATCATAAGTCAAGTCGCGTTTTTGCCCTTTAGACATACTACAAGCAGAAATACGGATAAATCTGAGATGGCAAAGTTGATCATCATGACTACTAGCAACAATGGTAGAAACAAAGTAACTGTAACCAAAATTTTTTAAAGATTAGTGTTCACAAAAAATAGTATTATTTAGTTCTTGAAAGTTTTGTCCTCCGATTTTTCACACTGAATCTAGGAATTGCATTTCTGCCATTACAGGGCCAATAAACAAAATATTGAGCACGAATCACTTTGATAACTTAAAGTGATTTGAGATTGCATCAAATATGAATACATTTATTTTGAAAATAGATAAGTTAATATCAGACCTGATAGTTCTATAAAAAAACTTGAGTGCTGACATCTTATAGCCGAATATACGTATAATTGACAACAGCGCAACAATACAGCATTATCACTATTCTCTGCCACCTCACAGGTCCGGTGGATGAATTTTGAGATGATTATTATCACACCAACCCGTATAGAGTAGCATCCTTTTCTATTAATATATGATAACAGATCATCGCTGGTTTTTCAAGCTTTATATGGGTTCTATCAATGATGCCAACGATTCCAGGATAACTATTTTTTATTATAGAAATATTACTTTGTCCTATATCTTTCTTCTTCTGTTAGCCATTTTATGATTTCTGGTGCCAGACTCTCTGTCAGAAGGTTCTGTACGAACAGCGGACTATCTGTCGGCAAACAGTCAGAAACTGTACAAACAGGTAACATCTCTCTATTTCTGATTTTTACAGTCACCGACAAGTTATCGACTACTGTACCTTTTTCTGGATATGAAAAATGCGGTTGGACATTTTAATTTCAAATTACATATTCTGATTCAATTTTGGCATATTTTCTACTATTCGGTATTTTTATTATTTTCAGGAAGAGTAGCTGCAGCGAAAAATCTAATCACAAAACTTAATAAGAACAAAACCACTGCAAGATACATCGAAAAATTGCAAAATGTTTGTCTAGCATTGATCGAATTGGCATATTACATCCCTCCAATGGCCAGTGACAAAAAGAAGGAGTATGCTATACCCAAGGGGTTGAAAATAATGAAAATAAAAAATTTCAATGACATTCCATTACCAATATGTAGTTTGGAGGTAAACCCGAGCAAAAACTATGATCGAATGATAGGTATGTCTACAGAAACATTACCCTCTTGTAGAAACTTTGTACAGGGTGGACCAGAAAGACGTGCGAATTTTAAAACCGCATTGCTCGTGACAGGCACGCGGGAGAGGGACACGGATAGTGGGCTTAAGTAGCGTGGTGAGCAGCGTTACGATCTGTGTTAAGGCTTATTACAAAAATGGAGATTCGTGAACTTTTGCGAGTGTCTGTTTCGCTCTGACTTTAGTTTACATGATCTAAATCAATGACCTAGTCAAAGTGTGATCAGGTTATGAGTCGAATCTACCGGTTCGACACTGAATCAGAAACCTGCGGGGCGTCCAAGGTCAATACGAACAGAGGAAACTAAGCGAAGTTGCGACGTCCGTATGGCGCGATCCACAGTTATCATCCCGAAAGAGATCAGCTGAGCTCGCCATATCAAAAACAGCTGTAAGGCGTATTTTGTTAAAAGACCTTGAATTGCGCCCATATGAACTTCAAGTAGGGCAGGAATTGAAACCGAAAGACCACCATCTACGCCATGCTAACAATGTTAGAGCGCTTTCCAAGTTTGAACGATATTCTCTTTTCTGACCTTTGTATTCACGTGATGTTACAGTTTGGGGTCCATGTCGGCTGCAGGAATCATCGGACACTATTTCTTCGAAAACGAACAAGGCCAGACTGTAACAGTAAATTCTAATCGCTACACATCAACTCTACGTAACCTTTTCTTTCCACAACTGCCTAATTCGGAAGCCTACCATAGCAGGACCTGGTTTCTACAAGATGGCGCGATATCCCATACCACCAACGAGTGTTTAGCAGTTGTAAACGGATAACTGATATCGCGACGAGGGGGCATTCCGTGGCCTCCCCGGAACCCAGATCTGACGCCACTGGATTTTTTCTCTGGGGATACCTCAAGAGCCGCGTTTACGCCAATAAACCGACGACGATTGCCCAGCTCAAGTACAACATTTCCGAGGAAATGTCCGCTATCCCACGAGCGTTGTGCCAGCGAGCTTTCCTGTATTTGAAGTCGACAATCAAAGAGTGCGTACGTCTCCATGGCTCACATCTCAAGGATGTTATTTTTAAAAAATAAAATTCTCATGTGTCTACTCTAATAAAAATATAAATTATCTTCCCCACGCTTTTTCGATGACTTTTTAAAATCCGCTCAACTTATTGGCCCACTCTGTACTTTGATGTTTGAAGATTTGTTTAGCATTAATTCCACAATGTCAATTTTGTATAATTACTCCTTTACACATTTTTTTAATCAATTTTCTGTAATTTTCATTCATAATGTGATTTTTTTATTTCACCTTAAACATTTTTAAATTCGAATTATATATCATTATTCAATTTATAAAATTCAAACTTTTTGTCTTTGAAATACAGATTTGCATATTATATTTTGCAAACCAATCGATGTTTAATAAAATTTACCCAATTATTTTTTTTAATATTACTATTTAACAGTTTAAAAGCGGTGTCTAAATGTTTATGTGTAGAAACTGTACTTTTGGAGAATTTTTGTGCCATTTACAAATAAAAGTTGAATGTTTGTGGGTTGTGGCTGAGAAATTATGTCTACTAAAGCGGGTTTATGCTTAGGTATAGCTTCGTTTGCGGACGTTTTCTATCCAGTGGGCGGAATCAATGCTCCTAAGAGAACTTTTTGCATCGGAACAGATGGAAAGAAGCGCTCCATGTTGGTCAAAGGACACGATGACCTTAGACAAGACGCGGTTATGCAACAGGTGAAATTTTAAATGTTTTTTTAAGTTAATGGCACTGGTCGATGACCAACTGAACAGATCGTTTTAAATATGCCCACATAGAAAATAGAACGCTAATGTAACGCCTGACACTTATCCTGTGTTTTAATCTTGAAAAGACTCCATTAGCTGGTCACTTGATCAAACCTCATGTTTTAAGTACTGTTTACTATACGAAATTTCGACTACCACCAGTACATTGACAATACCTATACATTTTGTTTAACGTCAGATATCCTTGTTCCTCAGAATTATATGAAAAAATCATATACAGTAGTAAACGGGCTACTTGTGAAAGAACAGCATGGACTTAGGAACAACAGATCAATTGAATCAGCATCTTGCAACTGATGGACCATAAGTTTATATACCTCCAGGTTTTTTCTTATGGTCTGTTATTGGTTCTCAAATACTCAGATGTTTTACTTCTTTTTTTACACCGAAGCAGCTGCGCAGGCACAAACCTAAATGCCTTTTCAGGATCCCAAAGAAATTTTGTTAATCCAATTTTTTAACTGCCTAAGGTTAGGATGGGAGGCCGAAGTCAGGCACTTCGCGCGGCGCAGCATGGAGGAGAGCTCTGATTAGAAGAGCCCGCGTTGGTGTAGCGGTACAAGAGAGCTAGATCGTCGACGGCCCGCCGCGAAAGGGTCCCAAGAGAGAAGAGTCATCTATCATTCGGACAGCCCTCGTCTGGACAGAATCGAGCATAAATAAGTAATGTATTCAGGGTGGAAGCACCCCAAACGTGTGAGCAATACTGGAGGCTTGATCGTACAGGAACGAAGATCGTTGATATGTAAGAGGAATAGAGTCGGAGCCAAGATCGATTCCTGGGGAACACCCGCGTTGACGTTGTTGGGAGAAGAGGTGAACCCTTCAATCTGCGAAGCTTCTCTGGGAGCCCATAGGATGGAGGTTTGCATAAGAGGGCAGCGTGCCACAGCTGATCGAACGCTTTCGTGATATCAAGAGCAACGACATGAGCTCCACCGTAAGACTGGATGACTTTAATCCACAATTGCGTGACGTAAGCTAGAATGTCACCTGTAGATCGCTGGTGCCGGAAACCATACTGCCTGTCGGTGATCAAGCCGTGACATGGGATGGGTTGGACATGAGCATATTTCTAGTTTTCTGGGAAGGTGCCGGATTCGTAAGACATCTGGAAGCAACGCGACAGAACTGGAGCAAGCTACGCTGCACACCTCTTCAACACAACGGCAGGAATAAAGTCCGGACCAGATGCTCTGTTGATGTCGAGCGACAAGAGCATCCGTCATACGGTCTTATGCCTGAATGTTACTTCACGCATAGTGTAGGGAACCCTTTGAATCGACGGCACTTGGGCGTTGGGGGACGTCCATGATGGAGTTGGCAGCAAAGATCTTGGCAAGCACTTAGCCTTTGAGTCCGTTACAATCGGTCCATCCTAACACGTACCTGGTGGAAGGCTACTCTGTGAGAAGTTCCTTTCAATCTGCAGAGCCTAAGTTTCATATCGTGCTGGTCTTTGGTATTGCGAACCGCTTCGTTACATGTTTCTCAAGGCCTTTCGGTGTCGAAATACCATTGTACTTGAAAAAGCCATGGTAGCCGAAACATCGTACCATAAACAGTAATCGAGACCTATGTGGTTTGATTTAGTAGCCAGACAATGGAGTCTTATCCGTTATCTTATAATGCCTTTTCCACATTAAGTTTACCAGTAAAATTAAATTGTTTATATTTCTTAAAAACAAGTACACTACACTTGTTAGTGTATCTATTAGTATTGCTCTGTTTTCCTTTTACCTGTTTTTTCGGGTTCATACTCAACTTTGGTTATTGTATCAAGTGACGAACTACTTCCTTAGTTCGGTGGTATTGTTTGTTGTCCTTTTAACTGTTTATTTCATGTTCTTCTAGGTGTTTACGATAATGAACAACTTACTATCATCTGGCAAACAAACTAAAAATTTATTGATACGAACGTACAAAATTGTCCCATTATCTATGAGAAGTGGCGTTTTGGAATGGGTGGATAACAGTATGACTATCGGAAGTTATCTTGTGGGAGACGCTGAAAACAAAGACGTTGGAGCACATGTGACTTATCGGCCGCGTGACAGGAAACCTAAATATTGTAGGGACGCCCTTGCGGTAAGAACTGTTTTGTTACTGGCATGAAACCTGCTAATATTACCATCTATGTCATGCATACAGATGCGACAGTAACTAAGATTTTCGTGTTACCAAATATTTGCCAACTATCGTAACAAATACCATGGCCGCGCGCAGGAATTTTTGTCAGTATGAGTATGAAATTCTTTGAAAAATTTGAAGAACGGGAGGAGGCAAGTTTACCCTGGGGCGGCCAAATCTGAAAAATTCTACCAGAGGTTTTATGATTTACAAAAAGGTGTTTTTCCCGATTTTCGACACTTTTGTCTCTGGTACGCAATATTCACGGAATCCCATTTTAATACACCCCAAAATATGCCAAAACTGCGCATTCTAGAAAGAAAATTTTCAAACGAAAGTTGTAAGGTTTCGAGGAGGCAAAATGATGGTGACCTTGACAATGACGGTAACTACTACAGTCAAGGTCAAGGAGCAAATTTTACTTCTGATCATCACTTTGCCCATGCCCGTTGCTTTAAAGGCCATTTCAAGTTATCGTAAACAATTTGCTCTAGTAAAAACTGCGCATTCTAGAAAGAAAATTTTCAAACAAAAGTTGTAAGGTTTTGGGGAGGCAAAATGATGATGACCTTGACAAATGACGGTAACGACGACAGTCAAGGTCAAGGAGCAGATTTTACTTCTGATCATCACTTTGCCCATGCCCTTGCCTGTTGCTTTAAAGGCCATTTCAAGTTATTGGAAACAATTTGCTCTAGTAAAAATGTTCTAAAGCACTGTTCTAAGGTTTGTGGAGATCACCCATATACGACCTTGACAATGACCTTTAAGGCCAAAATTTCCAAAATAAACCTCTCATTTTTATACTGTAAATTGAAAAAATAGATGCTTCGACCGCATGTGACCTTGACCTCACACTTAAAAGCGTGTCAAGCTTAAATATCATGCTCACGTCTTTTCCTTCGTAAATTTTAAGTTGACCTTGAACGTCATGGTCAGGGTCACGTTTCACTCGCAAACCTCAGAACTGATGTGCAGTCAAACATTCTTGTTAGAATAAACTGTTTTCGATGTCTTGATTTGGCCTTGAAGGTAGTGGTTAAGATCATGACCAAGATAATATCTGGACGTAGAATTTGCTCCTCTTTTCAATTCCAATGTGAAAAAGGGGGGGTTCCATTTAAAAATATTCACCAGACCTTGAAATGACCTGGAAGGTCTTAGTCAGGGTCACCAACATTTTGCCAGTTCGAAACCATTTAACTTTTTTTTTTAAGAATGCGCAATTAATAGAGACTGCGAGATTAATACTTATTTTTCATCAACTTGACCTGCACTTTTTATATTGCGCATGAGTCATTAATAGCACCGATAAGTTAAATATGGATCGTTTAAGCTGGCACTAGGCAGACATTGTTGCGATTTATGCATTCCTTATTGCTTGAACCGTGTGATATCACTGGTAAATACTGTCTGTTTCTTTTAGGCATGTGCTGGCAAATCACCAGAACAAAAACTAGCCACCTACAAGAAGATCTGTCACGAATTCAAGCCGGTGTTCCACAAATTTTTCGAGTCTACCTTTCCGCATCCTTCGATATGGTACGAACGAAGGCGGGCGTATGTTCGCAGCGTTGCAACTGCTAGCATGTGCGGTTACGTTTTAGGTATCGGAGATAGACATGTTCAGAACATTCTGATTGATAAAACCACTGCGGAGGTTATTCACATCGATTTTGGTGAGCATCTGATAAGCGCGAACTATCCTAGAAGATACATTATCTCAATTTCAGGTATTGCGTTTGAACAAGGAAAGATACTGCCAACCCCAGAGACAGTTCCTTTTAGATTGACACGAGATATTGTTGATGGCATGGGGGTCTCGGGAGTTGAAGGTGACTTCAGGAGGTAAAATTTATTCTTTTGTTTGGCACTGATTCAAATCAGATTTATGCCGCGTCAAAAAAAAATATAGCAGCGCGTGACCTTCGAATTTCGGCATTTCTACTGGTCAGCGGGTCCCAAAAATTTAACAGGCGAATAGCTGCGATGAAGTGGTCTTGTTTATTTTGACGCGGTTTAAATTAATTTAAATATGATCTAAAATCGTATTGTGTTCGAATACACTGCATTTTTCTTCGTTTTAGGTCATGCGAAAAAACGATGGAGGTACTAAGACAACACTACCAAACTATAATATCGATATTGGAAGTACTTTTGTATGATCCATTATACGCTTGGACTGTCACTTCTGCTGAAGCTAATAAACGTCAAACTGATGAGAGCAATTCTAGCAGAAATAGTTCCCCTAATTCTACAGAAGAAGGTAAAATGATCATTTAATTTAGTTTGGCGAAATTATTTCTCATACCCTACTGAGCGGGGCCGTGGTAAATGCTGGTTCCGGAAGTTGTTATATTTAGGCCCGGTTTTTCAGTCTCAGGTTAACCACGACTTTGGTCTTAACTTATAGCTATCTCTGAGGAAGCGACCAGAAGACAGATGAGTTAACTAGAAAGGCTGTGGTAAAATAGCAATGCCTGACGTTTGTTGACACAGACTTTGGCTTTTATTCAGAAATTCTCAAATTCATGTCACTTTAACGACAAATATAAATTAAAGCTAAAACATGTTTACGGATTACGACGTGAAAATAATCCACCGTCGACCGAATAACTTTGACGATCTGGATTTCCTTGCAAAATTTCGTCACCTTCTTTTCCACCATTTCTAAAAACCCATATATAAAGTATATTATTAAACATTTGTATAAGCACTGTTTAGAAAACCGCACCTTTCTCGATGAAGGTTTTATCCAAAATTTCCAGTATTTTATAAAATTTCATTAACAAGAGCTGTTATGTAAGACACAGTCGTTGAACGCACAGAACACGATATCTAAAAACCACAGATGCACGATTGCAACATAAACATATGATGAACTACTGGTAAGTTAGCTACAGAGATAGTTCTCCTTGGTGACTGTGGTTGGACTTGAATAAGACCTATGCACCAGGTCGTGCCGTTGAAGGGTTGGTGTGTCTAACCTCCTTATAGCAATCGCGATGCCGCGATATTTAGGCTTCTGCTTTTACCTACACGGCTGCGTCGGTATAAAAAAACTTTTCAATTTTTCTTTTCTTTCTTAAATAATCAATGTATTAATAAGTGTAGTTTTCAGATATTGGTAAAACTGTATTTCACTTTTTATTAATATTCTAGAAAATCACATTAACATAACTGCTGATCGAGCTTTACTAAGGATTCGAGAGAAACTACAAGGTACAGAGTTAGGCCATCCTACAACCATTGAACACCAAGTTGGGACATTGATTCAGCAGGCTACAGACCCTGCTAATTTGTGCAAATTGTTTGTTGGTTGGCAGCCATATTTATAAAGTGAAATAGTTCGCTTATATGTAAGTCCAGTATTTGTTTATGTTTTTAAGTTTTTTGTTACCTGTTCGTTCATATATCTGTGAGATATTCACGGTAAGGAAAACTCGAATGCGAGTTTCTTTGGCGTTTTTGATATGTTACCTATGGCCACTTTAACAAAAGTGAGCTTCTCCGTGACTAATATCTTAGAAATTATTTTTTCAGAAAAAAAAAGTAATAAAGCCATGTTATAAGTACAATGATTTTTCTTATATAATAGTTTCTTGAAAAAGTGCTATTTTTATATAATAATTCAGAATTTGATTGTTTTCTTTCTGATAATGCAAACATAGAACTGATCGAAACAAATTTAACGGAATAAAACTTCAAGACAACAAAATATAGATCAACTATGTACACGTGCATAAAAATAAATTATAGTACATACTACAAATAATAGATTTTAAAATTAAATATCTACGCTGTACAAGATCACATATATTTACAGTAAAACACCCTCAGATAACTATTCGTTTTCCTTAGCAGCCTGAATTTTTTTCTCCACTTGTTCAAAAGCCTCGACCGCAACCTTGTCTGCTTCGTCGAAGACCTGTTCAACCTCAATAACTTCTGGTATATAGAACTGTAACATGTTTTGGACACCATTCTTCAAAGTTACTACAGAGCTTGGACAACTCGTGCAGGCGCCTTGCATTTTTAGTTTTACTATTCCACTGTCGTATCCAACAAATACAATGTCGCCTAAAAGGGAAAGATCTATGTTTCTTGCGTGTTGAACAGGGTGCCGGCCGATATGTAACTGACTGGTTTGTATCTTGAATATTAGTGAAATGAAATAAAATACGTCCATCTTAATCTTTTATTGGAACTTATGTATGAAAAATAATATCAGACAAATGTCCGCCTCTAGAAGCCGCGCAAACCTGAGCCCTCTTGATTACATTTTCCATCACTTTTTGGTAGGTTTCGGGAGGAATATTTTCAATCGCTTCTGTAATATTGTTCTTCAACTGCTCTAAAGTATTTGGTTTGTTGGCATAAACCCTATTTTTGAAAAATCCCCATAAAAAGGTCAGGAGCTGTTAAATCCGGTGACCTTGGTGGCCAATTGACATCACCAAATCGAGAAATTCAACGTCCCGGAAATATTGTTCACAAAATATTCATTGTTTCCCTAGCTCTGTGACTAGTTGCTCCGTCCTGCTGGAATCAACTGTTTTGCAGGTCAAATTGTTGGATTTGAGGCGCCAGAAGGTTTTACACCATATCACGGTTTGTTCAAATTTCCGCAGGGTTGACAGTGGGCACATTATTTCGACCGAAATCTTGTCGTAGCTTCTAAATCGTTGCAACAATCGACTCATTATTTAAGTAAACCGTTTTAACAATACGGACGCGTTGTGGGATCGGGTAGCGGTCCATGATGAATTGGACACATGTGATTTAAACAACTACTACGGCGCCAACTACTGAAATACGTGTATCAAAAATGGCGCGCAATTTAAATCAATCAGTTATATATTGGGCCACCCTATATAAAAATGGATGTGTTAGGCAAGTTTCTGATTTGGTTTTTCAAAACAAATACAAATTACTTAATCACAGATAATATAAACTACAGTTATGCAGAGTTCATGTTAAATTGTCACAAAAGGCTTGTGTGTCCGTTTTCTGTTTATTGCTAGCAAAACGCCAAAACTTTTCAGGGCAAAACTAAATCTTATATCACTTATTTTCTGTGTGTTTTAATAATATAATCATATATTGAATATACCTCCATCTTCTTGTACTGTAGGCCTAATTCTAGTATCTAGGAGCTCCTTTATCATTTGAACTACTTCGTCATCGTCCTCGTTGATTTCTAAAGAACAAAAAAAAAATTGAAAGCCTTTCTATTACGCCAAAACAAATCAAACATCATAAGAATATTATGTCCTACTTACGAGTATCTTGATTTGGCGTTCCTTCGTTCAATACAGGTAAGCCTGATGCGAAAAAATCCATGATGGTTGCGAAAATCTCAGGCTTAAGCAATTTCCAGTCTACATCATCGTCCGCTTTGGTTACTGTTATAAAATCGGGACCTAGGAATACGCCCTTCACGCCCTCTATCCGAAACAGTAACTTGCCTAGTGGTGAGCAGTAAGCAGCTTGACCTGAAGCGATAACATTTGTGATGACTGATTCAAATAGAGATACTCCCTAAAATGCATAGAAATGGCGCCAAGTAGCCCATCTGAGATAAAACTTGATAAGAAACTAATTAAATGTATCAAGTCAGTCAAATAACCTATATAATTACTCCCTAGTCCCCACCCATACGACAATGTTGCGATTCTCCCTGCTCTACAGAGAGTACCGATATCATCTGGCAACGTTGTATTGCTATAACTAAGCTCGCCAGCACTGATACAGATGTGTATCTCCCTACGTTCGTCGCGTGTGTTGAAAATATTTGTATCAGGTTTTAACAGCAAATGTACGGGGAAATTTGTGTGAAATATATCAGTACGTAAAATTACTGAGCTCGGAAGCGTATCAATATACTGAAGCCAAAACATTGACACCACCCCAAACTGTTTATTCTTATTTATTTTTGCTCGTAGCTCCGCCACCACTGGATCGATTTTAAAAAACTACAAAGCTTTTTCGTCCCTAGTAGTAACCTTGTGTGAAACTTTGATCAAAATCTGAGCGGCACTGTCAAAGGGGCCAAGGATTAGCGGACACATACCTATAGAAACGAGTGTTATGGTTTTTCGTGATGTACATGTCATGTAACGTCAAAAAAAAAAACGATTTTTTACGATTACAATACTTCCTCGTTAACATGGTACATTTTGGGATTCCAATTTTCGCTTTTGAGTCCGTGCAGTTCGAGCAATATTTGTCAATTAACGCGACTAATGTTGATTCCTAATCCCTCATTCAAATGAAAACGTCTAGACGCATGACATAACCCGATCTAGCTAGTAATACTGCTTTCGTTCGTCCGGCCACAAACGGCTAGCCTTGGACAGCTGTTTCGTGCTATTTGACAACTCTTCAGTACGATGTAAGCTTGGTCACGCTGGACAACGAACGAAAGCTGAGCAAACCTACTCTATTCAGAGTATATGGTTTATCGAAATAGGACCCACCGTGGCCGTTAGATGCCGCCAATTCTGGCGGCCACAGTGGCGAAGTGGCATACAGTTCTAACAGATAGCCTTGATGTTCACTTTCGTAGTGGTAATAGATGGCATTTTGCTGTTTTATTCCAACACGATCTACGCGGCTAACTTATCCATCCAAAACAAGTAATTAGTTGCCCATCGGATTATAGTCGGAGTAGGGTTTTACGGGCTGTGCTGCAAGAAGCGTCGCACCGTCTTGTTGAAACCAAATATTCTGAAGATCATGGGGCTGGAATTTCAGGCGGCAAATAGTGTGTTATCATGGCGCTACAATGGCCACAAAATACCATCAAAATGGTCGCAAAATTGGAATTCCAGAATAGGTCAGCAAAAATCAAAAAGAAAACCTTCAAAAACTAATGGTCAAGAATGTACTCCTTTACTTCGATAGTTCAGATGACTCAATAGAGTACCAGGCATAAAATATGGAATTTGACCACCAGTCAATTTTAACGAAATTTCATATACCTAGTAATAGTTCATGTTGTGCTGATAAAATGTTCCCATGAGTGCGAAGCTCAGAAATGACTTCTTTTGGAGATATAGGGTGAATTTTGACGATTCAGCTCCCGTGGGTAAGCCTGCCTGTACCATTTTACGGAAACTAGCTCGTCTTTATTCTAGACTTACCGATGTAATAAAAATCACGTGAGCACACAATACACAGGGTGTAGGAACGTGAATAGAAAATACGATTTGCGCAGCAAGATTGGCATCTTATAGGTGTGCATTTCCTGATTATTTGGATATACATACAGGATGGTGCACATTTCCGTGGAAAACAAACTTGTTTTTTATAACGTAACATCCTATATTATATACAGTGTGTTAGGGAAATAATATTCGTAACTTTAAGAGGTGATTCCTTGCATTATTCTAAGCAAAAAAGTTCATTATAACCTATGTCCGAAAATCAACCGTTTCGGAACAAAAAAATGCTTAGTTCTTTTTAGTCATTAAAAAATTTAATGTTGCACCTTAATAATTTAGATTAATATCTCTAATAGCGTAAAATGTATCAATACATCTATTTATTAATTAACTGTCTCTAACAAAATAATTTTCTTGCTTATTTTCCGAAAAAAAAACAAACAAAATCCCTCACACAACTGGCAACGTCGTACTCCGCCTGCACTGCATGTAACATCGCGACCGACATCGTGTCAGACAAAAAAATAAATACCTACATCAGGAAAAAAATATTTGATAGTTTCTTGCACACATTAATGCAAGTAATGTTTACCCGAATTGAAATCACATTTTATTATTCAGTATGTTATTACTGTATCAGTGCGTGCATTTTGATACGAAAGAGATGTTTTCGGTACGCGAGTATCACGATATGTGTATTATTTACGGAGAGGCTCATTGCAATTCTGAAGAGGCTAGGCTACCAGCTAGAAAGAACATTCGTATAAGTATCAAAAGATTTCTGGACACAGGGAGCGTAGTGCCTAATTTTAACAATCTCGGAAGACATCGTGAAGTTGGAGTGGAAATTGAATAACATCTGTTGTGATTACCAATACATTTAACTGTGATTTACGGATGTTTTTTTCTTTTTTCGAGCATCGCATCGGTTCAAATGATAATCGTTGGAATTGGTGGTGTGTATCGCCACGTACCGGTAAGTTCTGTCATTTTAAGTAAATGTACTGTACTGAAAGCGTTATTAAATAAAAAATACTAGCCACAAAAGATTGCGTAAAAGTATTCAATAATTCAAGGCATATTTTCAACAAAAATATCATACAAACGTAAACAATTCGGTGAATCAGTTGAGGTCGTTGTGCGCTCGTATCGTATGGTTGAGAAAATTTAATTATTTACGACTCACTTTCCTCGACAACGATTGATTTTTCGGACATGTTATAATGAAGTTTTTTGCTTAGAATAATGCAAAGAATTACCTCTTAAAGTTACGAATATTATTTCCCTAACACCCCGTATAACCAGATAACGATTCTAATAAAGCTGTATTAAACCTTATATCAGAAAAAACTTATGAAAATGTGAATCGGATGATGTAAAAAGATGGGATGTTCGATTTAAAATTTTCGATAAAAACAAAGTTTAGCATTTTGTAGCATCCTGATAAAGATCGCGTAATTTTTCATCGTCTTTCCAAAATTCAGTGAAAAACTAACCAAAATGGCAGACCTCAAAGCCTTCAAGGATAGACATTTTTTTAGACAAATGATAAAATAACTAAACAAATGGCCATCAAAAACCTACAGTATATCAATCTTCATGTTTGGTGTGCCACGGAATTGTGCAACACCCTGCATGTTTCCAAATAACTTAGAGATACACAACTATAAGCGGTCAATCTTGTTGCGCAAACCGTTTTCGAATATATTAGATAGCTTTTCTTTTAAACAACTCGCCATTTTTGTTGGGACATCCTGTACATATTGTTAAGTGTTCACGTGATTTTTATTATATCATTAAGTTCCCTGAGTACATTTAAGACGAGTTAATTTTAGTTAAATGGTGCAGGCAGGCATACCCACAAGGACCACGGTAACAAACTATAACACCCTGAATCTCCAGTATTGGAACGTTTGATCAGCGCTACGAACTATCACCATACGAATTTCCTTTAAAATTTAACCGAGGAAAATTCCATGTTTTGTTCGTGGTATTTTGACTACCTCATATTTCTTCTCTTGAAATGAGTCACCCCTTACCTCTCCAAAAAAATACAATGAAATTAGATGAGTAGACATGTGAATAATAAATGCGGATGATAATAATATAAGAAAAAATACCTGTAGGAAAATCCATAGTTTGTCCGTCATCTAAAACCTTGACTCCAGGTAAGAACTTCAAACTGTTTGGATTAGGAGTTTCTTGAGTTTGAACGAACATCCGTAGAATATTCGAAGTTGATATGCTCTGGATACCATAGTGATTGAAATTATCATTCATAATGCTGTAAAAAATTATTATAATGAATAAACGGAACGATACACGTTTCAAAAAAAGTATAAGCGAGGAATAGTCTTGTAAAATATTTGCAACTTTATTCGGCGACACCTCGAACGAAATAATCGATATCGTGTGGCGGATTAACGGAAATAGTCTGGTGAAATTAAATTCGCTAGTTTATTAGTTGTCTGTCAATATACCGGCTTTTTCACCAGTATTATTACGGTAAAATACAGCTGATTAGCAATATTTCAAAATTTCCCATACCGGTAAGTGACACACAATGCGTCAACGACAGGTAGATAGAGCCGTATCTTGTTTTTTTTTGCACGCTACGCATGCGTTTTTTGCTTGCTAATAACTTTTATTTAGAAAAGTTCCTTTGCATACAAAAAAACGCTACAAGCAAAATGGCTGCAAATGATCATGACTACTTTTCAAGTCAGATAGGAATGAACTGAGAACAATTTTTGACTTTGTTAATCATCCCTACTTTTTAGAACTTGAAAAACCATATGATCTTAAAGCGCAGTGAAACAGCCATATTGGAATTACGTTACACTGATTACAGACAATTAACCAGAAACAAGTGTCTATGTTATTTTTACATGTAAAATTATAGCTACTGTAAAGGACAACATAGTCTATTCTATTGGCAAATGTACTATAATAATTTTCTAATAAACATTTTTCTATGTGTACTTCGTATAAAAAAAAGCATCTAGATATGCGAACAACAGCTCTGAATCCGGTCATAAGTTTTACCGGATTTAACGTTACAGATTAATACAAAGATGTCACTTGCTGATCAGCTGTTCGTATCCGTCAAAACGTAATGCATACTTGTGAAATACGGTTTACTAAAATGCCATCACAGATACAAAACGTGATCGGAAGTCTAATTCACAACTTAAAAACAATGTTTTGTGTTAGTAGCGGTTTCAAGCGTAGAAAGTCGGGGCTAATAGCTAGAGCAAAATAAACGTCGATATCGCTTGACGGTCACACGTTGAGTGTGGCGATGGCTGGCCGCTTGACGACTACGGCGGAAATTTTGGTACTTGCAACAACAGTAGATTGCAAAATCGACGATGAGTTCGCAGATAAAATCATGCCTATAATCTTTCTCGGGTATCAATTATTAGTAAGTGTACACATTTTTATGTCTCCCATATTGTGATTCAGAGATAATGCTGACAGACTTGCGCAGACATTCTCATTTATACAGGGTGGTCAATATATAACTGACTGATTTAAATTGCGCTCTATTTTTGATACACGCATTTCACTAGTTGTTCAAAGCACATGTGTCTAATTCAACATGGAGCGCTACACGATCCCACAACGCCTCCGTATTGTTAAAACGTTTTACTTAAATAATGAGTCGATTGTTGCAACGATTCGGAAGCTACGACAAGATTTCGGTCTAAATAATGTGCCCAGTGTCAACACCATTCGTCAGTTGGTGCGTAAATTTGAACAAACAGGTGAAGTTAAAGACTTGCCGTGTCCGAACTGTTCCTACTCCGGAAAATATAGAGTTCGTGAAAGTGTAGTGGAGCGCCCTGAGACGTCTACCAGACATCGTTCTCAAGAACTGGGTATTATGCTTTAATTTAAAAAAAGAATTGCATTTGTGGCAATACAAAATTCAGTTAACCCAAAAACTACAGCCTACAATTCAGTTATGCAGTATTGCAGCTTGATACTCAAAATAACGATTTTTACCGACAACTGATAATGAGCGATGAAGCCCACTTCGATATGAACGGATTTGTTAATAAGCAGAATTGTCGTATCAGGGCATTAGAGAATCCTCGTGTCATCCATCAACGACCACTACATCCTCGTCCAGGCACAGTTTGGTGCGATGTTTGGTATGGAGGTCTCATTGGACTTTACATTTTTTAAGACGCTGCAGGTATTTCTCTTACTGTCACTATCGAGCGCTACCGTAATATAGTGCAAAACTTCCTGGCTCCTCAAATCCAATCATTTAACTGCAAAACATGTGGTTCCATCAGGACGGAGCAACTTTTCACACAACTAGGGACACAATGAATATTTTGCGAACAATATTTCCGCAAAGTTTAATTTCTCGATTTGGTGATGGTGGTCAACTGGCCACCGAGGTAACCGGATTTGAAGGCACCTGAGTTTTTTATGGGGATTTTTGAAAAATAGGGTTTGTGCCAACAAACCAGATACTTTAGAGCAGTTGAAGAACAGTATTACGGAAGCGATTGAAAATATTCCTCCCGAAACCTACCAAAAAGTGATGGAAAATCAAGAGGGCAAAGGTTTGCGCAGCTTCTAGAAGCGGACATTTGTCTGATATTATTTTTCATACATAATTTCTAAGTTTCAGTATGGGAATTAAGATGAAAAAATGAACGTATTTTATTTCATTTCACAAATATTCAATATACCAGCCAGTCAGTTACATATCGGCCACCATGTATAAAGAGATTGGGAATCTCCGGTTGGTATAAAAAACTACATTCGCGTAATGTGCAAAATATTTATTTGTAAAGGATACCAATTACTGTCACATAAAAGTTACAATTAAAAATATAAAACATATACAAGGCATATACAAAAAATAACGTTTTCAGCATTATCTACATCTAAAAATATAATATGTATATATACGACACTCAAAATGGGAAGGAAATTTCACAAGAGTTGAAAATAAAATATAAAGAGAAGATAGATATCACTTAATATAATACCAAAGTTAGCACTATGAAATATGTATAAATAGCAACATCAGTACTGGTTTTACAGGAAAACCACGTGGTTTAAAGAGAGCAGTTCAAGGCAATCTCAATACATATTTTGTAACAGGTACGAGTATATTGTAAAAGTATCCAGTGCACCCACAAAAATTTGACATTGGAGCTTTCTCAATATTCCGTAAATGTACTCGCAACAACATAATTCACCATTCTAAGAAATAAAAATAATGTATAAACACGTATATGGCGCGTACATCCAGTATGGGTAAGTCACTCTACCATCTACCATTTTGCACCTTTTGTTCTCTGAAGAAAGAGTCTTTTGTAGAGGGACATCGACTCACTGGTGACATCTGTATACTTCTTTTATTATTCATGCCATTCCTTATTTTAGACATTTCAGTATACATATACTTAACTATTTAAATACATATTAGTTATACAAAACATTTAAGAAGTTCTTTGTAAAAACAACAAAAATCTGATATGATTTACGATTAGGGTAGTACAAATTAGTTTCTTCTAAAGTGACTCCAATAATTTACTTAAAAAAAATTGAGACTGAATAATGCGATGAGATTGAGATTTTATCGGAATTTGGAGATTAAAGAATGTTGACTTTGTATGAGTTCACAAAAAATTCCTAGTTCATAATACCTATCATAATATGAATATTTTTATATTTTATACAGTTTTATCTCTAATTTAACCTTTAACTACTCGCGCTGGTGTATATAGTACACCAAAATGGCGCCGAGGGCTGCCGAGTCCATGCGAATAGCTGTTCGTCCGCGCCGAGCCAGGTATGCCTCGCTCGATGTATCTTCCAGATGTAGCGCCAGTACGGTTCGGATCGCTAGAGGACAAGGTTAGATATTTCAAGAAGTTTGAGGTGGTGTACAAAATACACCAAGGCGAGCAGTTATGTAAGTAGATAGTGGAATGTATTTGTATATAATTAAACATCGATTATATGTTTTGAATTAATTGATTTATTCATTCAAGGAATCGAGTTAAGGTGAAAAATCCTCAAAAATTGACCCAAGATGAATTAGCGGCTATAGCCCAAGTTATATGTGATACGGATACCGAGGAAGAAGTTGGAGGAGAAGGAGATTCTGATGGAAGTGAACAAGTAGAGGAAGAAGCACACAATTCGGATTCAGAACAAGAAATAAGCAAACTAGAAGAAGTGGATGAAGTGGATGTTGATCAAAGTAGTTCTGATTCTGAAGATATCCTGCTCTCGGTGTTAGCGGCCAATAAACAAGATAAGTATATTGGCAAAGACAAAAAGACTATTTGGTATAAAAATTATCCCATGAGTAAATCCAGCAAGTCCAAAATAAAAAACATTATAAAAATACTACCAGGGCCAAAGCAATGCGCACGTGACATAACCGATGAGACAAGTGCGTTTTCGAAAATTTTTGATGATGAAATGATTGAACATATTATTCACTGTACTAATTTAGAAATTTCAAGAGTTAGGGAAAACTATGATCGAGAACGAGACGCAAAGGACGTTACAAAAACGGAAATGCTGGCTTTTATAGGCTTACTGTTTTTATCTGGATCTAAAAAGCAAAACCACACCCATTTTTTGGAATTATGGACAAAAGACGGTACCGGATCAGAAATATTTCGAGCTTGCATGAGTTATCAAAGGTTTCTTTTTCTGCTGGCAAATATTCGATTTGATGACAAAACAACAAGGCATGAACGCAAGAAAATAGATAAATTGGCCGCAGTGCGGTACGTTTTAGATAAATTTGTAAGTAATTGCAAAAAAACTACTCTATGGGCGAATTTATGACAATAGACGAAATGTTGATTGCGTTCCGAGGACGATGCAGCTTTGTCCAGTACATACCAAACAAACCTGCGAAATATGGTTTGAAGGCATTTGTGCTCTGTGATGCTAGAACATTTTATGTGAGTAATTTGGAGCTGTACTGTGGAAAACAACCAGATGGCCAATATAGCCAATCTAATACACCAACTGCCATCGTTCACCGTTTGCTAGCAGAACAAAAAGGAAGCAATAGAAATCTAACCTCCGATAATTGGTATTCAAGTTACCCTTTGGCAGTGGAACTTCTTCAAGACAAAATAACTTTCATCGGAACCCTGAAGAAGAATAAGCGAGAGCTGCCGATAGAGTTCTTGCCAAATAAAAATAGGTTGGTTGGGTCATCACTTTTTGGATTCCAAAAGGATGTAACGATAGTTTCACATGTCCAAAAAAAAAAATAAATGCGTGGTTTTGATTTCAACTATGCACGACGACTCCACTATTGATCCATATACCAACAAACCTGAAATAATTCTAGATTATAATATGACCAAAGGGGGTGTGGACACAGTGGACAAAATGTGCAATACTTATTCTGTTGGAAGAAGAACAAAAAGGTGGCCATTGGCTTTCTTCTTTCAGTTGCTAAATATAGCAGGCATCAATAGCCAAATTTTGTATAACGGCACTCACCCTGAATCTCCTCACAAGTCCAGAAGAATTTTCCTGAAAACTCTTGCTCTGTCATTGATGAAACCTTTTCTTTCTGAAAGAGCTGCAATACCTACGTTACCTATAGATATCAGACATTTCCTATCCAGATATAGACAAACTCAAATGGATGAAGAAGAGGAGCCACCCAGAAAAATTAGAGGAAGATGCTCCATCTGCGCCCGAAAAAAAAAAATAGAGTTACCACAATTACATGCAGCATTTGTCACCAGTTAGTGTGTAAAGAGCATAGTGTCAACGTTATCACCTGCCACAAATGTAAGGAAGGCGGATCCCATAGTGAATAGAGAATTATTAATTATGGTTGTTTTTTTCAATTTATTTTTACTGTCTTATTTGATTTTGTTTACTATTTTTGCTAATAAATATGTATTTGAGTTCAACAGTTGCTCTTATTACCACAGCTATAACTTATAGGGCAAACAAAACATATATTTGGATCATAACTTGCAACGGTGTACAAAATACACCGCGCGAGTAGTAACGTGAAATAAAAATGCGCGAGTAGTTAAAGGTTAAAGTTATCAGAAACTAAAATCACAAACTATCTAAGTATCAAAACCCATCATATTGAGTAGTTACCACGTTTTTCCTTAGCTGAATATAAAAGAAATCACAATTTACTTCAATATAAAAAAGTTAACAAACAAGCACAATGGTAAAAACAAAGCTTGTGAAAAAACTTTGTGGAAATTATGCTGTAGTGCATTCAAAAAGTCATACATTTTTGGAATGTTTACTGTTTTTTGATGATGAAATTTCTCACCAGATCTTTAATCGAACTTTTCTATTTGAAATACGTATATACTTGAAAATAAGTTGAAAAGATATTACGTTCAATAAAAAACGTTCGTATGAAACAAAATTGCTTAGTTTAGATTAAATTGCGTTATATGTCGTAACATGTAAATTCTATACATTATAAAAGCATTTTAAGTACGTCTTAAAATGTTTTAACGATATAGTGACATAATTCACCTCAACAATGCTGTCACATATATACTACGCACTAATTTCCACAACCGATGCTTCAAGGTTATATTTTTGCTCTATTTTTTGGTCGATATTTTGTATCAAAATTGGCACAGCAAGATTACATCGAAACAGGCTACAAAATCAAGTGATTATTATAATCTATGCACAACATTGACATGATTGACACCATTGTTCAGATAAAAGAAATGTGCTTTATTTAAGCATTATTTTGCTAATATTAGCTACAAGCTTGAAACTTCCAAACGTGTAGTTAAAATTTCCTTAAAATAACTCTACTTTAAAACAAAAATTTGATGATTTCAATATATTGACATGATTAATGAAAAGATATTATTCTAAACTAGGGCAATTTAAAATCTAAAAGAAATACGAAAATAAATGTAAATAAATATATTCCCTAATATTTTCTGTTATTGACACAAATTTTGAATTGAGAGTTATTTTAAGGAAACGTTAACTTGCTCCTTTCACCTATAGCATTCACGCGTTCATTTAGTCCTACGTGTTTCTCCGTACAAAAATTGTCTTTGCAGCAGTACCAAACTTGAGCAAAAAGCTATTTATATAGTCCATCTTACAATTAAGTATGTGTATATTATAAAAAATCATTTCAACGGAATATACTTACAGGCTAAGTCCTTTGGTTTCAACACGATGAAATTTCATACCTAAATCGGAATATAAATACATAATTCTAATATGTATAAATACATGCATATAAAAAATACCTAACTATTAATGAGACCAATATCAGGTTTTTGGAATGACAATATGTTCTTGATTTACTTTGTTTTTCCTTCACAGAAAATTTTCCTGAAAGTGTCCGCATACAAACGTTTGTCAACAGTTAGAATATAATGATTATCCTTTTGTACAGGGTGGACCAGAAGGACGTACGAATTTCAAAACCGCATTGCTCGTGACAGGCACGCGGGAGCGGGATAAGTAGCGCTTGAAGTTGTGTTTAATTATGCCGGCCACACACTACGGTACACCGGAGAGGTTACATGTGTAGGTTTGCCTGCATTTTAGTATTGAATTGAGGAATTCGACGTGACGTTCACCAAAAAACTAGCTAGATACCTGACGAGACGTGCGCACACATACCCTGCGGTGTCAGTGGAAATTATTGAATTTCGATCTTGCACCGGTCGCCTGAACAGGTTCAAAAATCTGCACAGGTCTATTTCGACACACACATTGGTCTACCTGCACAAATAGACCTCTCCGATGTACTGTAGTGTGTGGGCCCGGCATTTAGGCTTATTACAAAAATGGAAATTCATACACTTTTGCGTGGCGTCTGTTACGCTCTCAGTTTAATTTACACGATCAATGTCATAGTAAAAATGTGATCAGGTGATCAGAAAGTTCGAGTCTACCGGTTCGACACTGAATCAGAAACCTGCAGGGCATCCAAGGTCAATACGAACAGAGGAAACTGTAAGCGAAGTTCCGACGTCAGTACGGCGCGATCCACGGTTATCATCCCGCAAGAGATCAGGTGTCAAGAACATCTCATCTGTAAGATGCATTTTGGTAAAATACCTTAAATTGCACCCATATAAACTTCAACTGTGCAGGAATTGAAACCGCAGGCTCACCATCTACGCCGTACGTTTGCCGAAACAATATTAGAGCGCTTTCCAAGTTTGAACGATATTCTCTTTTCTGATGAAGCTCATTTTCATTTGAGTGGATTTGTCAACAAGCAAAATTACCGGTACTCCGCAGAAAATCCCAAATCAAAACACCAACGACCTTTGCATTCGCGGTGTCACAGTTTGGGCGGTCTTCGAAAACGAGCAAAGCCAGACTGTAACAGAAAATTCGCTACACAGCAATGATACGTAACTTTTTCTTTACACAACTGCATAATGTTGAAGCCTACCATAGCAGGACCTGGTTTCAACTAGATGGCTAGATATCCCATACCGCCAACGAGTCTTTAGCAGTTGTAAACGAAATACTTAGTGGAAAACTGATATCGCAACGAGGGGACATTCCGTGGCCACTGGATTTTTTTCTCTGGCGATACCTCAAGGGCAGTGTTTACGCCAATAAACCGCCGACGATGAAGTCGTCTTGACGACTCATATCTCAATGATGTTATTTTTAAAACATGAAATTCCCATGTGTCTACTTCATTAAAAATATAAATTATCTTCTCTATGCTTTGTAGTTTTTTATCATTTTTCAAAATCCGCTCAACTGAATGTCCCACCCTGTACTTATTTCTCCAGATGTCGCATTAAACTGGGCAACGTTCAACATCAAGACTGCCAAATTTTCCTAAAATCCATTCTTCAAATTTTAATGCGAGTTTCAAAAATCTATCCATTAAATAAAAAATGCAGGTACTTTTCTGTGATGTAATTTCTGTAGAAGGAAAAATAAAAAATATTTGTGACCAGGAGTTGAGGTGATTGTACCAAATTCGATCAGTTATCAATAATAGGATATTCGTAACTGGAGAATAGGTTAAAAAAGAAACGTTTTGCAATGTGAAGAGAACCATTTATTCCTGACTAATTTTTGATAATGATGAAGCTATTTCACCATTTAATAAACTGCTGATACGTCGAAAAGTTAGTTGCAAACGTCTCGTATATTACGTGGTATCGACTTAGGTATGCTAACCACCACTATACATACCTATTATAATCTGATTTGGTTTCCAGTGGTGCATGTCTGAAAACTTAAGAGACCTAATTCGTTTTTGAATAGAATGCCCCAAAACTGTATTTCATTAAAAATGCTGACGAATGTTAAAAGATAGTCAATATGGCAGCAGATATGAAATAAGTATTTCAGAAAAGTAAATGGCACAACGAGATCATATGACACATAATATTGGGACATCCTAAATACTCAAAGTATTTTTGCCCGCGAGCTTACCGTACTTGTTTCGTTTATGTACAAAAATTATCTACTTCATGCATAAATAAATCCTTCGAAAGACCATCTCAAACTGTAAAATGATTTCGACATTATTTATCATTAATTTCTAAATCCCATAAAATGAAGAATCAGGAAAATTTTTGTAAATATGAAGAAACTATAGCCTATATACCAGGAGAAGCTACTACGACCCCGAAACTTGACGCGTGGGATACCAGTGGTTGCCATGGTGAAGATTTTTCCCAAATTCAGGAGATTTTTACTTAGGTAATTTTTTTGGGACATAATGTTCTCGGGGATATCACACGTGTGACCGATAGAAAGCACCCACTCGCTCTTTGAGCCAAAACTCCATTAATTAACTATGATTTGGGGGACTTTTTAAAGTAAAAATTATGATGAATTGTTGTGCTTGTTCTAGGAAAATTCTGTCCGACCAACGCTGTGCTTTAACAGATTCCCCATATGAACATAAATTAGCTCAATATTTGCTTATTTCTCGTAAATGTTCGGTATTAATAGTCGGAAATATGTTGGAAATTGTTACTGTTATTTGTGAAAAACTGTTTGAAAAGCCTTTCTTTGTGCTGTGGTGATTGTTCAATGAGGGGAGCATGATTCATTGTTTGGAACTCCTGCTATTCTTCTCCAAAAGAGGTCAAGATTTCTGGATCAAGTAATTGAAGTTGAGGTACCTTGATATAGGAATAACAAAAATATACAAGAATTTGTTCCAGGTGTATTAGAAAAGGTAAAATCTTGAGTGTGATTTATACCCATGAAAACAGAAGTTATTCGTAAAACGTGTAAGCATCTACCTGATTAGCCTATAGAGTCCTGCAGGGGAGATCTCACGACTTAGTCCAGTATCAACCTGTGGTATCAGCACAAGTCAGTTTGTAATTAAATTTTTTCCTAACCGATACCCTGACTGAATGTTAGGCGTCAAGTTTTCTTTTCTCTTTTCGCCGGTTCTCCTGGTACATAAGCTCCATTGTACTAGGCCATAAAACCTTGTAAAATAAGCCGTAAAGTGCTTTCAACGTCTTTTGAGATTCTATGTCGAGAACAAATGGGTGGACCTCCATATTGGTTTTGCCTTTTTTTTTCTATCACTAACCAAATAGTTAACAGAGATGTATAGCTCTTACCTATTCCTAAATTAAAACAACTGCTTCTCACCATTGTGGTTTTTGCTCTTGTAAAAAAAACAAATGTGTAACACAGGAGATAGGAAGATTGTACAGTAGAGCAATTCTCGAAAACGAGTGAGTGGAATTACGAAAAGAAAGTGGGCGTAGTTCAATTACACTTCGAGTATTTTTCTGATAGCTCTTTGACGTTTTCCAAGATCCAGGTAACTGCCTTTCTATCAAGCAAACGTTAGAAAATACAGTTATCTGAAAAGTAATAGGACCTGGTCTACTTCCTATTAGACCTACCCTCGAGTACAGCTCAAATGTTTATGGTGCTGCCGCTCCGACTACATTATCCATGCTCATTGCTGTTCAGAGGAGGGCTGACCGATGACTCTTGTCTACCGGAGTCTCGGGACCCCTCCGAACCAGCGGCCCATCGGCGATCTAGCTCTCTTCTACCGCTACACCAACGAGCTTTGTTCCTCAGAGCTCTCCTGTATGATACTGCCGCGAGATCAGCCTGCCAGAAAGACCCGCCTGACGGCAGCCTCCTATTGTAACCACGTTGAACTACGAACATCTATAAATGGCCGGAACGCCCGCTCCTTTGTCCCTAGGGTATCGAGATTGTAGAACAATCTGCATGAGGAGGCTTTACGTAGTTCAATTAACCTTAGTTCAAAAATTGGATTAACAAAGTTTCTTTAAGCTTATGGCAGCCGCTTCTGCCTGCTCAGCTGCTTCAGTGTAAAAAAAAGTTACTATACAATTGTTCTGTTTTTCAGAATTGATCTAGCAGGAAGCCTAAACCATTTGCGCTAATTTTATAGATAAGTCTCGACTTACACGTAATCCCATATCTTTCTGCCGTGTTAGAAAATAATGGCGAAATTATCTACAGTTTGACCACCGCCCCAAAAAACGTCATCCCAAATTATATACAACCATATTACGAGGACGAATCGGACAACTCGTGTAGCTCTGCATAGTTCACTATCGCCCTGTGGAGGAACTCGTACTGTGCGAAGCTATTCACCAGCGCCTGTCGCTGTGAACGCAGCTTCCTCGTTACTGTGAACACGTCAACTCGCCTTTCAGTCTTCAGCTGCTGCACCAGGATGCTAAGGCCTACGAACATTGAGCTGCGATCTGATCCCAGGTTGCAATGCACTACCATGGATGGGGTGCAACTGTTCTTTACCAGCATCGCTTGAGAATAGTCTACTAGTTCTGTCATGCCTCTGGTTACTTCGGGCACTTCGCCGTCTACTGTGGGCCAGCCGTGGTATTGGAGATGCACCACCTACAAAAAATAGCGTCAAGTAGGTCTAGTCTGCACTTCCCAGGTTCAATATCAGTTAGAAAGGAATTAAATAGATCATCAGTTAAATAGGCCTATATAATCAGTTGCAACTTTACAAACTTTTTTGACTTTCAGAGACTCAAATACACTCATCTGAACAAACGAATGATATGATGTTGCCTAACTTGGCGCTGAATTGATCTGGTACAGTGTAATGACCTTTCAGGATTTTGAATAATTCATTGTTGGAATGGACGGAATTCGTGCCTAGTCCCCATCCATTTTCCAAGTAATGGCAATGTTACCACTGAAATACACAGTTGTAGTGCAGTGGCCATACTCCTACAGGTTAACCTCCCATTTCTCGACCCGGGAATAGAAAATCATACTACGCGTAAGTCTTGAAGGCAAATATACCGGAAAATCTATATTTGCAATATAAGTAGTAAATTACCGGATTTAGAAATGTATAAGTATACCACTGCCAAAAAACTGAGATACACCCTTCCACAGATTTTTATTTTTTACCCCTCAAAAATTTGTTGGATACGAGCAGGAGTCTGACATGTCAAAAAAGAGATTTCTGGCGATTTTTTTTTCATTTTTTGTTCCTAGCTCCGCTACCACTGGATCAAGTTTCAACATCTACAAAGTTTTTCCGTCTTTGATTAAGTAGTAACCTTCTGTGGAAATGTTAACAAAAACCGAGCGGTGGTTTCTAAGTTATATATGGGCCAATGATTAGAGGATAGACCGACGGAAATGTGTGACGTGGTATTTCGTGAAATGGATCATATATACAACATTCAAAATCTTCACAATTACAATACTTCCTCGCCAATGCCGTGGGAAGTAAAATAATCATTGGAATCAGGAGTGTATGTCACATGCAGAAAAAACGAAAAAGTATTCTATTAGGGACTGAAGCAACTGGAAACCTTTATTACATGTATTTAATATTTGTTACATCATAGCGTTGATGAAAAATTTCACGTTTGAACTTTGGAAGACAAGTTTTGACACTCCTGACTCATAGAAAATACCAGAGCTTGTCATAACAATTGCATTCACAAAAACATACCTTCTGATCTTCGCCATCCCTGCTCTTGATAATGAATTCTCTCCTGGTGTAATATGGACATGTCTCAGCATTGACATATCTCACGTGGATATGATCATAGTTAGCTTCATCTTCCTCAGGCCAATACCTGGTGCATTTTCCCTCACCAAGTTCAGATAGCATTACAATCACGCTAATACCTTGTTCCGATATCATGCGCCAAAAATCGTTTACTGTACATTCTAGGGGATCCTGGGTTATTATGAAAGCCTCACTATTGTCATAGCCCTCAATAAAGCTGGCGTTGATATATGTAGAATGATCTTTACCTAAAAATACCAAAATATTAGTTATTTGAAGACATTTGTGAATTATGAAGTACATGATTGCCTATCGGGAGAAATAAGTCTAAGAGACTCAGATAAGCAATTAAAAGATTGCATCAGATTTAGTTTTAAACATGTTATTGTCAAAGATATCAACAATATTTAAAATGGGAAGCTCATATTGACAGGAAGATTAAAAAAGTGAATCACTGATATATAGGATTAAAAGGAAGATTAAGAGGAACCTGATTGAGACATTAACGATTATCAGTGGCTGCTATTCATGTATTCTTCAAGTCTATTCAGAATATTCAATATCTGGAGAATAGCAAAAAAAATTAGAAAAAGTTGATGAGAAGTTACATATCAAATCATCTAATACATTCTCAGAACCATCTTAGAGCCGTTTTACACACAAGAGAATTACTCTGAAAATTATGGTTATAATTATGCCGAACATTTTTGCTGTCGTATTACACCTAAAAGAATTCTTGTGAAAATTTTCATGGTAAAAATATAAAACCCGTTCTATAGAATATGCGCGAGAATCGGCGCAGAGGATTATTTCCGTGCATGTCATTATCAAATGTCAACGTCAACATAACAACATAACCCCACTTAACATTTGTGCATTTGTGGGTATGGTCCTGTTCGAGTCGTACTACGAAGAAGCGTTTATTGTTATTGTTTATTCATAATGTCGTGGAATCAGGAAGAAGTTACACTGTTGTTGTAGGAGTACCAAAAATGGGCAAACCTGTTCAAGGTGAAGTCACCCAATTACAAAAACAGAAATTTGCGGCGTCAGGCGCTGGATGCGATAGTCCAAGCATTGAGAAGTTTTATAATATTAACCAAGATCTCGATTTCAAAAATAAATTTAAATCAACGACGTCTGTTGTCTTTCCGATTATATTGGACGTCATACCCGTTAAGGTTATGTCCATTCGAAAATATTACTCTAATGCGCAAGCGTATCATATGAATTACTCGGAAATTTTGTTTGCTTGTGTCATACAGGTTGTAGAGAAAATCTTCATATTTTTTCCATGCACATTTTAGGCATAATTATGACCATAATTTTCGGAGTAATTCTCTTGTGTGTAAAACGGCTCTTAGTGAAGAAACAGTGAGTGCAACAACTGTCAATTTATTTAAGAATAAACTGGATAATATGAAAGTCTGATCTATTTTATGATGTTTTCTTTGCTTACCTGCCAATGGTGTCAAAATCACCCTGTTCCTATCATAAGGTATAACATTATCACTCCTATTCTTCCCTCTATTCTCCTCTCCACTTGCAACTGAGCAGGACTTCCTATCCTCGAATGCATTGATGATGTTATCAAACTCTTCCTCCAATTTACATTTAGTCTTCCCATTATCACATTGCCTGAGCCTCTCCAAAGTACTCTTCAGCTCATTGGCATGGATCTCTGTATCTCCATATTGAGCTACCTCCATCAAAGCTCTGTAGATGAATATGTACTGCTTAAGGGACTGCACTAGGAAGTTCCTCTGGTGCCTCAGGTCACAGATTGTGTTAAAGATGGACACGTGGCCTTCTTCTCTTAATTGTTGCATGAGGCAGTCTAGAGCAACCAATGTTCCAGTTCTTCCCACTCCTGCACTACAATGTACAAGAATGCTGCCTTTTTCTGGTGAATATACTTCATTTACCCTTTTGATAAACCTAATTATTCCATTCGGATGCTCTGGTGCCATGAAATCTTTCCAAACAAGGTAGTGGTATTGTGTAATGAACCTTTCTTCAGAGTCTTTACCATTGATGTTTCTCTTGACTTTCAATTCTCTAATAATATAATCAGAGAACCTAGTTTCATCCATATGTGTGACAGTTATATCACCAAAAACCTTATCACCATCAGTCTTATCAGGCCAGTACTTGGCACATTTAGTTTTACTGTACTCTTCTAAATTAGTCAGCATAAGAATCAGTTCCAAGTTCTGTTCCCATATCATTCTCCAAAACTCATTGACAGTTGTGTCCATTGGGCCTTGAGCACAAATGAACTTTTTCCGTTCTTTATACCCCATAACATAATTTGCATTGATGTAATCTGAACCTGCAATACTGTCTACTTGAGCTAGCTTAACTCTAGTCTGGTCATAGGCCTTAATATCCGGATATCTATTTTTGTAGACATTCTCCCTGCTATCTGATGCTCTAGTAGTCCTGTCTGAAAATCTATCTGGAAGTAGCTCAAATTCTTGTTGGAAACCATAATCAGAATCTCTGTGATGCTCAATGTATGCTGATATCAGATCTGCTTTAGTGATAGGTGACATATCAGGAGGGTTCAGTGAAACAAGCCTTTGTCTGCCTCTTAAACCTCTCAAGGAGGTCCTGAAGGTTATCATTTCAACTGCCTGGGCATGAGCTTGCTTAGTATATTTGTGCAAAATACACAATGCTCCAAGCAAAACTATAATCACAATGACTAAGCCACACATGATCTGCATTATAAGGCTTAATGCACCTTCTGTGGGTGCTATAATAACCTCAGGTCCAGGATTCATCATGTCCAAATAGTGAGTGTAACTCACTATATGAGCTGGCTTGATTCCATATACTATTATTTCAACAAAACCTGTATAGTTGCTATTGATATCTAGACTACCATCATATGGTGGTAAGGGGTCACTAAGAATTTCTTCTCGAGCTACTCTATTGGAAGTGTTGTCTTTCTTAACATTTGTTTTTTCAACCCTTGGTGTATTGTATGGTCTCAAACCAATGCATTCATCACATTGAGAATTTTCGCTAGCATTAAACATCTGTTCATCTCCTAAAAATACTTCTGGATGGAAGTTTGCACTGGTGAACATTTCAGCAACATAAGCACCCCCTTTTGGAGTTCTATGCGCCTCTTGGTATGACATTATTGTTAAATCCTCAGGATGTGGTAGATTTGACAATTTTTGCTGGGATTCCATTCGTACCATGTAAATTCGGAAACAGCAAATTTTCCCATTTCTCTCAGAAATTCTGGGTAACAATAACTTGAAGATCCATTTTCGTTGCTCTTCAATCTTCCTCCAGTGAACTCTAGATAGTTTTTGTTTATCTGGTGCTGCAGGAGGCATTGTACAATGCAAAGTTACTGGATGACCATTTTTCCTAATCCTTGTCACTCCTGAAATCATTACTGTGTAATTTGTATTAGCTGAAACATGTAATCTTGTGAACAAAGTAGTCTCACTGGTACTAGTAACTTTAGGCCCCCATGTGATGTGCTCCTCATTGCCTTGTTCATTAACAAAACTTGCTCTGCCTTCTAGATGGACATTATAAGACATTATTTTACCATGAGGTACAGCAGGAGGTTGCCAAGCAACATAAACAAAATTAGTATTACTTATGTTATCAAACCTGCACTCCACAGTAGCATTTGAAGGGGGTCCAGCTATTCCATCCATCGTGATGCCTTCAACAGGTTTAGACCAAGGTCCACATTTCTTGGTGAAGTCACTACAAGCTGCTACTTGGAAAATATATTTCTTAGCAGAGTCTAGTTCAGAAAACATGTAGATGTAATCCTTTGTTGTTGGTTGAAGAGCTTCTTTCTTTTGTGTAGAGTTAACTGGCTGAAGAAGTAAGTGGTAGTAGTGAATATGGTCTTTAAATTTATCTGGTGGAGCACTCCATTTGATAGTTATAGAGCTAGAAGTAACTCCGGTTACTGTAACATCTGGCACAAAAATAGGCTCTTCATCCAAAAGCTTGATTAGATTGCTAGTGGAATACTGTGATTCTCCTTGTGAATTTTTAGCCATAATCCTCACTGTATACTGCTTACTTTTTTCTAATGGATCTGAATCATTTTTCACACTTAATACTAAAGAGTTGTCACTTGCATTCAGCATAGCTTGATAATAAATCCATTCTTTATCATCATCTGATTTGTATTGTACAATATACTTGAGATCTTTGGGGCTATTACCATCATTCACAGTCCAGTTAAGGAATATCTTATTAATACCTATAGGTTTCACTAGATCTAAGGTAATCTGAGGTTTATCGAGTACAAGGACCTCTGTGGAAGCATTTGCAGAAGATAAAGGAGTATATACCATACATGTGTAAGTTCCATTATCTTTTTTTGTTACTTCTAATTTCAGACTTGTATTTACATGAGTTGTGTTAAGTATTTTTTCTTCCCAAGACATGTCACTGATAACTTCACCATCTTTGAGCCATTTTAATTCTTCAATGGGGTATCCCTTTACTATACAAGCTATTTCCACAGTTTTGTGCATTTGTGTATATATAGGGGGTGTGATACTTGCTACTAGTGCATCTGCAGTCACATTTATCAATATCTGGCGAAAATCTAAATCACCATGTGTCTCATTATGCTTCATCATAGCATGGCATTTGTAATCGCCAACATGAGAGAAATCTATGTTTAAAATGTGCAGTATAGATACTTCAAATTTGTTGCCTGATTCTTTGTTTATATTTTCGCTTTCCATCTCCAGTTTGAAGCCATCCTGCTCTGAAACATTCTTGTCATTGTATGTCCACATCATTTCGCTGTGCATCCAACGGGTCTTGCATATCATAGTAATGTTTTCACCTAGTGGAAGCAAACTGGGATTCTCATGTTTGAGTACTTCGATCGTAATGTTCAAGTCTTTGTCCTCCTCGTCAATCGGATTGCTTGTAACAGTGTAAAATGCGATGAAATAACAGAAAACATACAAGCTGTATAAAAACTGGGCTTGGCATATCATACTGACTGAGTGTGCGGGTACTTTTTGTGGAAATGCGGTGGTTGCACCTACAGCGCACTATGTCCTAAGCTAAAATCACACAAAACAGCATCGTTTTTCACATACTGCTATCCAAAATACAAGAATTTGCAAAACAAAATGCCGACAGTTTACTCGAATGCCGACTAGCTTGCAAATGACAGTGACAGAACGTCTGTCATTGCCCTTCACACCCGCCCGACGTTGCCAAGTTTAAAAGGGCATTTTCTTTGGAAAATCAATAACCGCTCCTTTTCATTGCCCAAAAGTAAATAATCATACAATTGCGTTTTAACTACCCCACTCACTCATTTTTTCGCATTATTTTCTTGTTAATTAGTATTATATCTAACAATTATCATTATTATGAATCAAATGGGCGAATTTTAGGAATCTGTTTAGGAGGGGGGTGCAGCGGTGGTCGCAGAATATTTTTGTCTCTGGGAGAAAGGCGGCGGCAGCGGTTGATTCAGATAGCAAGGTCATTTTTACACCAAGATATAGAAATATATACCATTTTCTTGAACAAAAAATGGCAGAGTTGATCGTCCCCCTCGCCAACCTCCAAATTCACGGTTGTTAAATCATATAGAACAAGGCATTTCTGTTGATGAAATAAGAAAACATTTCCATAGATAATCGAAAAAATTAAACAATGAGATACTGATTTGTATCCGTATTTTTTCTATTTCTATAGCGTTACAAAACAGGAATACGTACTCTTCCGTTGCACTCCAGAAGAATCCATAGATATGGCAACAGGCTTATACCTAGGAAAATTCTTCTGACAAACTAGGAATCGAGAAAAATCAAAAATTTTCGTAAATTATACATACCCACTTAAGACATTTTGTAGTGTATTACTATTTTTTGCTAAGCGAATGCTAGGCCTCAAAAAATTTCGCCACATCCTGCCACAGTCGTTTCTTTAGGTAGTTTTAAAACACACAAATTGAAATTATCTTGCACTGAAATTAGGTTATGTTTAAACCACAAAACATAAGTTTCAACTATCAATCGCAGAACATCAAAATCTACATAAAATCACAAAACACAAAGCAGTGGCGTCTCCTGAAGCAAAACGTTGAGGGTTTCACAATCCTTTTTCAATAATCGATGAGACTTTCCTTTTCAAAGGAACACAGGCTATTTCAGAAAACAAAATCCATATACTGGGTGCTGTTAAAGTTGAATGAATACCTGTCTAAAAGGAAATGAATATTATTCATTGTATATTATACAGGGTGACTTTGAAGTTGAGTCATTAATTTTCAGATAATGATTGTAGAAGGAAGATAAACCAAAATATGTGTGTAAAAATAAAAAAAAAATTTTTACCTTGTTTTATAAAGTATCCTCCCGACAAGTATTTCAGTGCGGACCTGTATTTGATCGTGAGGTCCCCTGTGAGGTCTTAAGTCACCTGATTCACGAGCCCGTTGTACTACATTAACAAAGGCACGAGGGGTTGGTTGCACTCGATTGGGAAACCGATCCGCATAAACATGTGCCATTTTTTATTTCGTTTGAGCCACGCAACAGACACTATTCACACGCGACACTGACATTGACTGTATGTATAACTGAACTGAATAAAATAATAAACTGTACACAAACATCGTTCCAAATTCTTTCGCTTTTTTGTTTCCGATGCGATGAACCGGTAAGGCGGATTATATCCGTTGTTGCCAAACACGAGCACATGATATTGAGACAGGGCGGTACTCAAACTTCCAAAGGGCTATAACTTTGTTACTTTAATTTTACCAGAAAAATGGTAAAGGAAAAAAACATTTCTTTTGATCAGATCTATTCACTGTTAAAATAAATGACTCAACTTCGAAGTCACCCTGTATATTGAAATAATGATGTTGAGACTCCTTTAAAATAATAAACAAGTAGTTATATTCTACAGTTGCTGACAAACTGTAGTTTAGTAGAATTTTATGCAGTTATGTGTAGCTTTTACTGCAAAATCCTCTGTACCTTTCACTTTCAGCTCATAAAGATTAAATGCTTTAATATATCATTGCAATGGACAAGTTTACCATTTTTTTGTTATTAGCTCAAATGAAAGTTTAGGAAAAGTGAAACAAGATGGTGAAAAAATTATTATTTATCTCTAAAAACAAAAAAGCCCATCAAAGTCGCGCCCCGCGAGAATATTTTTATTCCGTCTGTACGTTACGTGTGACGTCACACGCGAACGAACGGCAGTTATGATTTCGCGCTATAATGAGCCAAATTTAAGTATCAATTTCTCTGTCATTTATTCGCCGATTTCAATAATTTTCCCACTGGCTGGTTATATTTAGTCTATATTTTGCTGGTATGTCATTACTTATGCGATTCTGAATATCACAAAACTTCTCCATTTTAATGACTTGAATAAAATGATCTGAACTGCTTACTTACAATAATGTTTAATTTTCTTAATTCTGAAAGTCTATTCAAATTTTTGCAGTTTTATACTGGTGTTTTAAATCTTGACAAATTAAATAGCATTAAAGGTGTAAGGTGTAATAAAAACCAGTTTGTGGAAAAAGGTAATTACATCACATACATTAAAATAAGTAGTTATCATCTTAATAAAAAAAATAATCTATACATAACACCAATTTAATAATTACACTCCTTTCCTCCATTTTTCAGCAGTAGTAAACTCTGTCATTGGTTTCCCACTTATTCCACATGTACCAATTCCAACCCTGCCAGTCACAGAATCAGGTGAAGCAAAGATACTCTTTGTTTTCAACCCAGTCTTCTTATTTTTAATTGCCTTATTTGCAAAGGCTAACCACTTTTTCTTGTCTTGTTCCCTCTCTTCCTCTAACTCCTTATATCTTTGCTGTTTTTTGAGCTTCTTCTTCTTCAAGTATTCCTTATCATGCAGCCTGGCTTTCTTCATTTTTTCTGCCTCTGTAAGAACTCGCTTCTGACCTGTGAATTCACGCAATTCGCTAAGAGTAGTGATGCCTCGGTTTTTGTACGCCTCAAACGTTACATTTACCTGTCCATCTGGGTTGATTGCGTCTATCCTGGCCTCATAGTACTGTCCGTTGTCGCTCCATTTTGCCATGCAAGTATCACCAACCCTCCACATCTTTTTTGACTTGTTTTTCGCGACGAATTCCTCAACGGCGAGCAGGGATTTTGTAATCTCGTCATCTTCGGGGACTCCTACTGGCTCTGTGTATTCTGGCTGGTTCGCGGCTTCTTCTGCTTTGTTTTTGAGATCCAAAGTCAGCTCGATAACCTCCTCCAAGTCCACCTTGAGTTTCTGCAGCTCTTGGTTGTCTGGGTCTGTCAGCAAAGCTGCTTCGACTTGCTGCAATTGCAGCTGGTAATTCTGCAATTCGTCACTCATGTTGACCAGATTGTATTCACAGTGCGTTTTTATGGTTTTTTAGATTTGATATCTCACTTGAAATGCAATTCTAATAGCTTTTTCATGAATTATAAACTCATATCAAACAGCAGCCATTTTCACGTTTATTTTATTTATAATATCCTTAACATCTGACACACATCTGACGTATACGTCAACTTCGAAATGTCAAAGAAAACGGTTAGGAAGCGGGGAATCTTCAAAGATGTCTGCCAACAAGGGAGCTGCGACTTTTTAAGCTATCTGCCATTTTCTAACACTTGTGTTCGAGTGAGGTGTATAGTTGAAAGTGCGTAATCCACATGTGACCAATCTTGTGTCGGTCCTTTTCAATTTAGTTTAAATTTATTTTCATAGATTTGTTATGCTCATATTTCATAAAACGTTTCAGGCAGTATGAAGGAAGATGGAGGATAGCTTGTTAAGTCACAATACTGTGTTCAACGAAGAACGCCCTTTCCTTGATAGACATCTTTGGGAGATGAGAAACGTCAATTTTGACTTTGACGTTTCTCGTTTTCTAGAATTTCATGATGTTGGAAAAGGGTAAATTAATCCAATCAAAATGGTAAATGTAATGAAAGGAGTGTTAGTCAAATGGTAAGATTGTATATTACACTTATACTAATTCATAATAGTATCAAAATAACTTTATACGACGACACTTTATTCTATGTAATCCAGATCCTCAGGAATTCCGAACTGTTTATTCAAAACCTTGCCTTCTATCATAAATTTTCTTTGGCACCAAGATTTCATAGAAAATATGTTGTCCGTCCAACGATTAGTAGCATTTTTCAATTCCTGAAATGAATATGAGATTTCGTTAATCTTAAATCATAGGCGAATGCCTCGCAGTCAGTATTTGCTGTGATCCATCCGAATTTAGCATAGGCCATTACTGTAGGTAGTATCCAAATGCTTATACTTTATTTCACTTCCATCAATCTCCCTCACACATACATGTGCAATCTAGCTTGGACATTTGTTTGTCTACACTCAGGCATGTTTTTTTTTTAGTTTTGTTTCACTACCTCATAAAGTGTGTCAGCAAAGTATGAATATTCCTAATCTATGTTTGTTACTGTGACACCCCACTTAACATGAGCCTACCATTTTAAGTTTATGTTCTGTTGATCTTTATGACATAAAACAGCAGTATCTGAACATTGGCAATGTTGATAGTTTTGGCAAACTTATTAGAGTATTTTGAGAAAGTGAACAAAAGCTATGGTTTACTAAGGATAGTAGCTGCATTTGAGATCGATTTACCCAATTGGCAAGAACAGTGAAAAGTATATAACAAAACATATGCGAAGGTCTATAGTGTATAGAACAAAATAATTAGAATAGGTCATTTGCTCATTGTTGTTCTGTTGTCAGCAATCACCTCTTGTTGTTAACCTGTCAAAATTGGTTGTCAGCTGGTCAATGTATTTTCCTTTCTTGTGATTTAGTGAACTTTGTTTAGGTATGGTTGAATGATGTGGGGAGCTTCATACAAGACTTTATACTCTGGTATGCCAAAAGCCTGAAGCATGTAACAATAATAATAATGTTTGAACCCAATCACAGGAACATTCAATAATAAACATCAAGTCTATCCTCTTGTGTATAAAAGTTCATTTTATCAAAATGCATTTAAAACATGAATGAAATAAAATTATTACAGGAAATAAAAATATAAACATGAATATGAATTACAGTAAAATTGATACAAAAAAATATATCTAAAAATTATGGCTCCATTTGCAAAAATAAACCTGCACATATAAAAACTGCAACATTTTGTCATGGTACTTATGTAATCTTTTGACAAGCTCTTTTATGAATAAAACATAGTTGAAGCAATATATAATGGTTTTATTTTATGTAGCCTCTTACCTTTCATAAATCATCTATATTTGTGAAATGGATACAAATTTTATTATGATCCTCATCTGTGATAATAAAAGCATGAATACATACTGCAACCAAGGATAACCTGTTTTAGCATTATGCCTACAGTTATTGCTGATTTATAAGGTTACATGGAGATCCACTTTCTAATTGCATGATCACGCATCACAGTAAATATTGATCATGTGACATTTGTCATACAAAACTATAGTGTTTGACATACCTCGCATTTTCTTTCAAAAGTTTGAATCTTCACAGGGTCATTTTCTTTACAAGCTTTCAATTTATTTTGTAACACATTCAATTCAACCTCTTTATCATTTACTTCTTCTAATAAGGCAGTCCTTTTTTGTTCATCAACATCCTCAGATTTTGATTCATGTAATGTATTCTCTATTAGTTTTAATTTTTTATTTGAAGCCTCAAGCTTACATTGAAGATCTTCTAAAACCCTTTTTCTTGAATGTATTGCTTTGCTAAAAGCATAAAATACATTCTTGTGGAAAACATTCTTTTAAATTACTCGTTTAACCCTGCATTATATTTGCAACAAAGTTTTATTAATTTAAATAATGCATTACCTTGGGAATGCCCAAAAATATATTGCCCCTCCAATTTTGTCTGTGTCTACAAGGCCATCCTCTACAAGTTTTTGAATAGTATCTTTAACTGAATTTGCTACAATTCCTTTTTCTTTTGGAGCTATTTTCTCCAATTCCTACAAATATGGTATGTAATACAACAAATCTTTTTCTGTTAAACGACTATCAAAAACCTTCAGCTGAAAACATTCTCCTCTTTCATAGAATAGCTGCAACATTCGCGTTTTCTTCTCTTCAGCACTTACTCCTTTTTTGGACATTTTGAGTATTCTAAGGACAAAAACTGATTATTAAGTTGTTATGGATTGGGGTATCAGAACCAGGCAGACAATATTAGTTGGAAAAAATATTTTTTAATGAATTATCGCTAAACAGATACTTATGAGCTTCTAAATCTGCACTAGTAAATTATTTATCAAATGGTACCCTCTTGATTCTGAAGAGCTTTGTGCCTCCCTGTATCAAATAAATTTGCTAACATGTATTTTGGTAGGGGATGCTGAGATTCAAAACATTTTTTTATTATTTCCAGTGACCCAGCTATGAAACAATTTCTGTTGCATTTAGATGAAACTTTGAAGCTAGGCAGAAAATTCATCATTCAGGACTTGGATGAGAATCATCTGTTTATTTCTGGAGATATTTTGGATATTTTACAAGCTAAAATCGATGATTTGATGGATCAAATTAGCTTTCCATTGGCTGAAAAGAATTCTTAAGCAGGTGCCTAGATATTTAAAAAAACCAGCTAAACAACTAAACTTTACCAGTTGGTGAAGTGTACTAGCAAGTTCATAGAAACATGACAATCTCAAAGTCGACCCTTCGTGGGTCAAACCGCATTAAAGAAAATGATAAGAGGCGTATTGTGGATGAAACATCTCGAAAAAGGAGGCACAGAAAGGTTATGGAACTGCTCGAGTCCGATAACTACCATGAAGATCCCCATGCCGACTTGGTTATGAGCAAGAAAGTGCCAAAGTTTGAAGACAACTTGGAACATAGAACTTCCCGCGCCAAAAAGAAAGAGCGCACTGCCGAGTATTATCAAATTAAGTATAGAAAAAACTTTCAGCAGTTGGTGGATGAAGACAGAGCTGAAGCTGAGGCAAATAAGAGAGTGTCATACATGGATATACAATGTGAGGAGTCTCCAATGCCTCCAAGACATTTTTGTGCCGTGTGTGGGTTCTTAGCAAAGTATAGTTGTTTGTCTTGTGGGACCAGGTATTGTTGTATCAGGTGCATGGACACTCATATGGATACAAGATGCTTGAAATGGGCAGCTTAATTATTTCGTATTGTATTTTTTTGTGATTATACGTTTTTACTGTGTATACATCATTTTTCCTTACCTATTGTTTTGATGTTATTGAATGTTTGAAATGTGAAAAAATATGGTTATATGTCACCTGTCAGAACGACACGTGACATCTACCTGTCTATTCCAAAAGAGATATTAGGTAACTATGTTTAGTGTCATCTAAATGCAATAGATGGCTACAAACGTATTTAGTAGATTTTTCGGGTGAGTTATATTGATAAATTAATTTTTGATGATACGTGTAAGAAATAGATAGTTTGACACAATTAGAATAGTGGGATGTGTCGTGAAAGTGATTGCGAAGCTCTCGCTATCGTGTTACTGCCCAAATTCTTTCAAATCCGTCTGCACTAAAATCTAGACTGGAGGATTGAAATGTGTAATCTATTTTAAGTATGTTCTGCGCTCCCGTGATGGTGTTATTTGGCATATTTTACAGAAAGGTTAGTACAACGAAAATCTCCATCCTTGATTTAAAGTATTGCAAGTGAGGTATTTATTTCTAAAGGAACAGAATTCGTCTTTAATCAAAACAGTCTGATAGTTTACTGGAAAGCATGAACGTTATGCAACCCATGCTGCTTCCATCATTAGTAACCTTCATTGATAACGTATTTTTTATTGTATCTGGTATCGAACATCCATTCAAGGCATGCTTTCTTCAAGAACTACTTTTGGGTTTAAAATTCTTGTAAACGTTTAAATCTTATTCGACAAAATATAAGGTAAGGATAAATACAAAGATCAAACCATTAACATAAAATAACGGCCATACCACGCTGAAAACGCCGAGAATGTAAATACCTCTTTGTTTCAAATTTTTAATTTTTTAGTACAGGTTTTGAGTATATTTCCTGTAAATACACTTCTCAACCAAACCCCGGACAAAATCTATGAATATTGAATTTTTTGGACTTTCCTTTGTTCTAGTTTGTTTTGTAAGTGTCATTTTATTATTTGGATGTGACAAGAATAATATAACCACATGCACATGTATATTATAAAATTATTTAGCTTAACACCAAGCATCTCTGGGTCAAATCGAGTGTGCGCCAGATTCCACAGAGAATATTACTATGTTAGCATTAAGCCCAACCCTCGTAGTGAATATATAATTTAAGTGCATATTACTGTATATAATCTTGAAAAATAAATATAAATTGTTGCTAGAAAAAATCGTCCGATCGCCGAAGCTAAGCAGCGTTGGGCGCGGTTAGTACTTGGATGGGTGACCGCTTGGGAACACCGCGTGTCGTTAGCTTTTTTTGAAAAAAATATTTTATAACTGCTTGATGTTATCTTTTATTTTTTAAACACGCCCAAGCGCCCACAAATAAAACATGAATGTTAATTATTGGTGCATACATATAAATATGTTTTCGTTATTGTGAATCAAATCAAGATACATGAGTTATTTGTATATTCACATGATTAGCTTTTGTAGTAAAAACATTTTTTAATTCGCTCTAATGTAATTTCTATCGCATTTGGTTTGAAAATTCGATGGCTTTCAACATCAACTTTTAGTTTTATATTTTCAGGTGAAGAAGGTATCTTGGCGAAAGAAACGCATTTATTACAATTAACACTTTTATTACATAAACAAATAAATATATACGTCTTTGAAAGTTTCTACTATATATACAATAAATAAGTACAAACATTGTTTTGGCAGCTTTATCAACTGGAATCAAGTGTATACAGTCATTTTGTGGCAAAGTATTCATTTCATACAAAAAGTCAGGAGATTCTACCCTCTACTACAACAATCAACAATCAGACCGTATTTCTAATAGCACAATGTTCGTCAAGATATGTTTAGGGAAAAATAAAGATACATATGCGAATTACAAAATTTCTTCAAAATTCATCCAGATTTGTGTTTAAAAAAATGAGTCATCTGTGATTTCGAGCGCACAAGTTTGGTGAATACGCCTATTTACATTATCGAATTTAAATTACGGTGAATTCGCTATTTTAAAGCAGAATTCAAAGGTGTAGGGAGATATTTGAAATATCCTGTACCTAGTTTCACCAATGTTTATTCAATTTGGTGAATGCTATGACTATATTAAAAATGGTGGAAGCGCCAGTATTATTACAATGTTTGAACAGATATGATGGAAAAAGTTTGCATGAGCAACGTTGATCTCAATTTAGATGACTCAGTCATTAGTGTTTAAAGGACTTTACATTATGGTTCTACAGAACGTTGGGTGACTCTTTCGAAATCTTATTCGAGTGGGCCAGAAAATAAACTTTCGAGTCCAAACACACGTTAGTTTTTCAGATATTCTAGGTTAATTCAGTTAGTTTTATAAGTAACCAACGTATTTCAAAGAACGCAAGATATATCTTGCTGGCTACATTCGTGTAGTCAGGTTTAATGGAATTGAATCTAGCAAGATTGCATGATCGGCAAATTGTTCCCCAATTCCTTTGAGCCATTTATTGAATCAACGAAGAATCAACAGTCATAGGCGTTCGTGGGAAATTTCCCCAGGGTGGACGATCGTCGATAAGATTAAGATAGTATTTTGGAAAAGTGTAACTGCCTCAACTTTTTGAAGAACGGGGGCAGCAAATTTTCTCGGGGGAGCTAATGGAATTGGGCAACCATTTGAATGAGAAATCGAAGGTGCGCAGACTAGAATTACTTTTATGACATTAATCAGGATGTTACTTGGCGATAGGTCGTAATTACAAGGGCGCATTCCTGATTCAATAAATTTAAGTAGTAAAGTTAATATCAAGATGTGCCCTAAAAAGTCTGTTTTCCCAGGTAAGAGTATCAAAGTTAAAAAAAAGTTGTTTTTTCCATCAATATCTCAGAGAGCCTGGTACCAGTTAGAAAATACGAATTCCAGTGGCGACTCGGGGGGCCGTATTACGAATAATATTAAAAAAATGAACGCCACTGTCTTTGTCTTTCCGGATTAAGCAGCTAATGGTACAGTTTGTTGTCTCTTGGTATCCTTTCGTACCTTACTTCGTTTTCTAAAAAATAAACAACTTCATTACCTGTCGAAAAATTGTTAAAAAGAAACAAGTCAGCTTTGATGGCTGTTACGAGTATGAAGATATTTTTGACTTCGTGACAGTTTGCTATTATTTCCTCTCTTTTCTAGTTGAATGTGTTTCAGGACCGCATATTTGTAATTACGTTTGATCATTAACTTTGTGTTATTTTTTTCTGAGATGCCAAGATTATATTTAATTTCGGTTTTGAATTTTTATCACTTTGCAAAATTATCGTCAAAATTCAGATGCAGCAAAAACTAAAATCGTCCTAAGTATAACTTGAACATGGACATTGTGCTGCTCAGAACAACTTTAGGAACATTAAACGTTTGGAAAAAAACAACCCCCTTAATCATTATCATCCTTCTTCTTTCTCAACTTTCCCTCCCTCTGAATCGTTCTCGAAACCATATCCACGCACTCAGAAACATGAGGTATCTCTAACTCTTCATTATGTTCACTGCTATTCACTATGGACGACAGAGTCATTATATACGAGCAAGCTATCCTGAGCACGGACAGCTTGGATAGTTTCTGGTTATGAGAATACGAAGGTATCGATCTCCTGAGCGTATCAAACGCGGCACTTATTGTGTGTACTCTAGTCCTTTCACGCGCGTTAGCTTCTATTCGTCGCTCACGAGTCATGTTCTTGTAGTTCCTTTGCTCTCTTCTATCTGACTTCTTTCCGTCTTCAAGACTTGGGAAACACTCGTTTGACTTTAGGATGATCCTTTCAGTTTCAGCGGTGGTGCACTGTGCTTGTGGATGGACAGGCACTCTCATCTCCTCCGGACTTTGAGGTACTCTGAAGTCCTGGGAGCTAGTATCACTTTCAGCCTTGATGATTTCAACAGTATCGCGTTTTTTCACTAACGCTACGGGTTCAGATTGTTGATAGTACCCGATCGGTGAAGGAGGTCGGAAATACGATTCGTACTTGATCTCCTTAGGTTCTTGCTTGCCGGGAGCAGGGCTCCATGGCCGAAACGGGTGTGACTCGCTTTCTGCTTTCACTTTGAGACACATCCTCTTTTTAAGAGGTCCGGTAAAAGGCTCGATTCGCTTGCGCTTGTTGGACAAAGAGATGGCGGAGACTTTGACCTCCACACTGTCTTCGGAGCTGTCTGTTGGGGAATGGACATCGGTTTCCAGGTAGTCTTCTCCGGAGCAGAAGCCGGTGTCCTCAGAGGCTGGTAGCGGCATTTTGCAGTCTGCAAAGAAAGAAAACATATTTAGTTGTTGGCACATCTGAGTGAAATCTGAAAATGATGTTACACGCAATTGAAGGGCAGATTGATATATGAAAAACAGTTCAGATAAGCAGGGGTCTGGAATGTGGTAATGCTTCATTTCCACAACACGTACATGTCCATTTTTTCGTATTCCAGCTTAAATTTTTTGAAAAAACACATTGAGATGTATTATCAAAGATCGGCTTAACATGTATAAAATTGTGTAAATGCATCGATGGCGTTTATGTCGGCTTTTAATCCTAGCAAAAACCACAACCAATAGACCTTTGCGCCTTACTTCCCTCTCATAATTGATTGGACCAGTCTGCAGACCAAATCTGCCTCGTATTGCATTTATTTGAACTTCTTAGTTCAGCAGGCTACTAGATGTTTCAAAGTATTTATAAAATGAGTATCAAACGTCATGAGCGTTCATTTACGTATAGGTTACGGGGAATGACGCTATACAATGACAATTTCTAAGTTTTATGAAATGGAATGCAGAATGTTGGGAAAAAAACTCTATAAATACGTCCATTAATGATCTTGCGTAAATGCGCCTTAGGATATTTTCAAGTAGAATCGATATGACTTCGAGGAATCATAGCTTATTTTTGTGTAAACTAGTGGTTACAGTTTGATACATTGACATCCTGTAACATCCTGTTTAGCTAAAACGTTTATAAGTCTGTTCAAACCTCAATTACTTCTAGTCAAAATAAACATGAACACTCGATCGTCATTTCTATTCGCTTGTCGCTGACTGTCCAGGCATTTATGAATCAGCTCACTGAATGTTGTGCGTTGGTGTTTGTTTTGACGAGGAGTAAATGTTATTAGAATGTTATTACATATTATTATACAGGTTTGTGACAGGGTCAGTCCTGCATAATAATGATTTTATATCAAATTAAATGCTTATTTCAATGTACTCAGAAACCTTTTAACTTGTCAGATTGTCAATGGTGAACCTTATTGATATGTCATGGAGGAGTTTTAATATTCATCCTATTTATATGAATTGAAAAGTCCGAATATTTGAACGGTTGAATATGTATTTTGTTGCATTGGATTCATTTTCGTTTGATTCATAAAAGAAGGCAATACAAAACAAGGATATACTAATAAACAAATATGAATAATAATAACTGTTGTATTGTATATAGTGTTGAGAGTTATGGGCGGAGTCAGGGAGTCAGGGGAGTGTTCGGACCCCCCCCCCCGAAATATCAAGAGTTTAAAAACATTAAGTACATGTTTTTCAATTTGCAGTCGACCCTCCAGCACTCTTCAATAATTTTTAAATCGTCGATTCCCCGCTCTGTAATTTCTATTCTATTCGATTCAAATTTTGCGTGAAATTTGGGGCACTCTTTAATTGAAGCTCATTTACGTAGAGATTGGGTTAAGTTTTATTTCCGGATACTGAATGAAATCCAATGAAAATCGATTGAAACACCTGTTGTATTGGTATTTCCATGTTGTTCAAGAAGCAGTTGAGGAACGTAAACACAAAGGAGAAGTGTTAATAGATTTGCAAACAGCGAACATATCTTGTCTATAGTCCCACACCGGGCGTGACACATTTGTTGGATACATTGCTAATGCCTATAATCTATATCATCCTTAATAACATGCATTTATCATGGATAATTATGGACAAAGCCTAGATGATTTTACACGATGGGGTTTATGCAAGGAGCACTCAAGTTTTGCATTCTGTTTGGAAGTACGTATTTGTTTTCCATTTATGTGACCATACAGGTTTATTCTTGTTTAGATTCATCAATACGGTACACCTTCAACTAGAAGAACATACATTTATCGTAGAAGGCTAACGTTTTTCCACAACAGATTTTCGTAGATATAAAACAGTTGGGTATATCGCAAATCAAATGCTTAGCTGTTTTATCTTCCTGTTCACATCCTTCGGGGACAAGGGCGTCCCATTTTATATAGATGGTTTCTTAGATGTTAAGATATAGGCGCATTACCACAGTTATTTTGAGCACCAAGAATAGAACTAAATGCTGTAGGACATCATTATTTATGACAGAAATGCCATTATAATTCAAAATTGATAGTTTGTTGCAAACCTTCAAATCGTGTATTATGATATCCTAACGAAGATAAAGTGAATGTCAGCAAATCGAAGTTTGGTTCTCAGCCTCGGACTCTATACAGATATTATTGGTCAGTACTGAATTGCAATGTTTCTCCTTTTCATCCTTTATTATGTTATGGCTTCATGAAAGCCTCACTCTTATTTCAGTAAGTGTTGTTGAATAAAATATTTTGGTTGATGCTCAGTATGTCATGTTTCATAATACAGAGATTTCTAATAACTAGTCCAAATTTTTGAGATCTCATACAATGTATCAAGCATGACTGACACCGACTAAGTGTTTCAAAGCTTTTGCTTGGCTCAGATGGAACTTGCTTCTGATTTGTGTTGAAGTCCCAGTTGGCTCTTAGTGTCCTGGAAATGTTCCGTTAAATCGTAGAGGAAAAGCTCTGCGTTCAACACAAATCAGGCGCTGGTTCATCTGAAAATGAAGCTTTAAGAAAATACTCTACTTCAAGTTTCCAGCGCAAAAAGTTACTCAAGATCTTCAAAAAGATGATACTATAAGTTATTGTAAAAACCTACCTTTCAAATATGAAATCAACCTCAAATCCCCATTCGTCATAATATCATGGAAGAGGAAGAAGGCTGCATATATCCTTAAAAGTCAGTCATATCCGACACTAGAACTGTTCCAAATCCAGGCTGCAAGTTCTGGAGCAAAATCCAGTAAAGTCCGCAAGAAACTTAAAAGATTTATCACACTTATCACAACGGTTTTTAAATCGTCTCACTATCCACAACGTCAACTATATCTAACGACGGTCTTTTGTCAACTCAGTGCTTTGGCACCATCAACTGTTCTTCAACTATCAACCGGCGATAGTCTGCTGTTCACGTGCTCGGTACAGCCGACTGTAATCGGTTAGTGTTTCGTGCTGCTCGGTGCGCTGTGTCGCACTGACTGAACGACTCGGGAGTCATGAATGTTTTCGTCGGCCGTTCGTGAAGGGGCTTTGGGGGGTCGAAGCGGGGGGCAGGGGGCTGTGTATGTGGGCGCAGTGTTGGCGCCAGCTGTCTGGCCCGGCTGACTTGTTAAGTGTGAGAAGTAACAGGACGAGAGGGCTGACGCCGACGACGCGTCGCCAGCACATTGCCGCGCTGCATTGGAATTCCATAGTCGGAGAGCTACTACCACATCCAACGGAATAAACCATTTACTTCAACCGCCAGGAAGCAGATTTTCCGCTGAGGTCTTGATGCAAACCTTCTTCGAGAATGAAGCCCGTATACTTGATTCTCAGAGGAGTTCCGAAACAAATATTCTCCGTGATTCAAAAATATTTCCTTGAGCCTTGCACATTCTTTTTCTTCTGGGTCTATAAACAAGTATCTTCCAGGGATAAAGCACATGTACTTTACTTGAGCTCCAAAGAAGCAGTTTTTCGTTTGGGGCGTTAGAGTATATACATGATCTTGGCGGAGCCAGCTTACAAGCATTTTCCCAGATTGAACCTGGCAGAAGCGGTGTTTCCTCCGGGATTCAATATAAAACGAAGCACATTTGTTTTCCGAAAATGAAGTTGAGTCATTTATTTTAACAGTGAGTAGATCTGATCAAAAGAAATGTTTTTTTCCTTTACCATTTTTCTGGTAAAATTAAAGTAACAAAGTTATAGCCCTTTGGAAGTTTGAGTACCGCCCTGTCTCAATAATAATACCTATTATATGTTCGTGTTTGGCGACAACGGATATAATCCGCCTGACCGGTTCATCGCATCGGAAACAAAAAAGCGAAAGAATTTGAAACGTTTATCACGATGTTTTTCGTCAGTCGATAACGCGTTAGTGAATAGTAGTGTTTGTTGCGTGGCTCAAACGAAATCAAAAATGGCACATGTTTACGAAAATGCTGAACTTGTGGACATGATTCTTATTTACGGGAGGGCAGTCTTTATAAAATGCTCCTGGATGCATCACGGATTTATGCGAATCGGTTTCCCAATCGAGTGCAACCAACCCCTCGTGCCTTTGTTAATGTAGTACAAAGGGCTCGTGAATCAGGTGACTTAAGACCTCACAGGTCAGGGCATGCTGCTCCAAGACCGCACGATCAAATACAGATCCGCACTGAAATACTTGTCGGGACGATACTTTATTAAACAAGGTAACATTTTTTTTTATTTATTTTTTTATTTTTACATACATATTTTGGTTTATCTTCCTTCTACAATCATTATCTGAAAATTAATGACTCAACTTCAAAGTCACCCTGTATATACATGATATTTGGAACAGTCCCGATGCAATCATCCACTGAGCTCTGAGATTGAAGCACATTTCCTTGA